GGAGGCCGAGCTCGGGGCAGGTGGCAGCAGATCAGAAAAAAAACATTCTGAGAGAGAGGCTTGTCATAAATACAGCGGTGAAACAAATATATCTGAGAACATCTGTGAACATCTGAGCCCCGTGACCTTGGAAACTAGAGGCAGGTGGAGCAGTTCGGTAAAGTTCAAAGAGATATATCAAAGACTGCGGAAAAACAGAAAAGCGGAATTCCCTGGGGAACTTCTGTGACCGGCCGAGAAGCAGCATGCAGTTTCAGCTGCGTCGGTCGGTTAGCGACAGAAAATATCTCCGCATCCAACGCACCACATCGTGTATTCTTCTGCAAATAGCGGTGGTTACACTTAGCCACGTGCTCCCCTACACTCGCTGTCTCCGTTGACCGGTGACCCAGAAAGTGGACGTCTCGGAGTGTTTGTGATTTCTTGAACAACCATGCAGGCCCCTTGTGAATCTCCTTCAGATGCCATTTTAAGGGGACGAGAGGCTGCTGCAAATACGTCTCAGGTCCTCGAGGCATGGGGCAATTCCTTGCCCTGCCAGCAGCTTCATGTGGTCACGCTTGAGCTCCCGATTTAACCGAATAATTATTGCGTTCGTCTCGTTTGTTCCATCTCGCTTGTTGTCGTTTCCCATTTCTTCCTACTCGTTTGTGCAGTTGTGTTCGCGCCACGAGCCTAAACGCAGCATTAGCATCTCCTCTGCTTACATCGTAAACAATCGGTTCTCAAGCGCAAAGTTCCATGGGTAAGCGGCGGCAGAGGAACAGGAAGACCACGCGCAGGGAGTCGCCACGTCAGGGGACTCGTCCAGGCAGGGGGCTGGTGCGACGGGGGCCTCTCAGAGAGAGAGAGGGGAGAGACCCCCTTTGTGAGCACAAATGAAAGCACGGGCTGAATGAAAGGGCCCTGAAAGGCCCTGAAAGGGGAGTTATTTCGCTGGGTAAACTTTGGCCCCCGGGGTTTAATCGCTGCCACCGCGCGTGTTTGTTTAAACGCGGCGAGGGAACAATCCCCGTGGCTGCGGCGCCGATGTTTGCCGAGCGTATCGCTCGATCTGGGCTCGGCTCACGGCGGCGGCTTCACTCAACACCAGCCGGGGAGCCCGGCAGCGGACATCGTAAACACGCGCCGGTTGCCATGCCCTGGTGGTGGTGCCCTGGTGGTGGTGGTGCCGTGGTGGTGCCGTGGTGGTGGTGCCCTAGTGGTGGTGGTGCCGTGGTGGTGGTGGTGCCCTGGTGGTGGTGCCCTGGTGGTGGTCGGTGCCGTGGTGGTGGTGCCGTGGTGGTGCCGTGGTGGTGCCCTGGTGGTGGTGCCGTGGTGGTGGTGGTGCCGTGGTGGTGGTGCCGTGGTGGTGCCGTGGTGGTGCCCTGGTGGTGGTGCCGTAGTGGTGCCCTGGTGGTGGTGCCGTGGTGGTGGTGGTGCCGTGGTGGTGGTGGTGCCGTGGTGGTGTTGCCGTAGTGGTGCCGTGGTGGTGGTGCGGTGGTGGTGGTGCCGTGGTGGTGGTGCCCTGGTGGTGGTGGTGGTGCCGTGGTGGTGGTGCCCTGGTGGTGGTGCCGTGGTGGTGGTGGTGCCGTGGTGGTGGTGCCGTAGTGGTGCCCTGGTGGTGGTGGTGCCGTGGTGGTGGTGCCGTGGTGGTGGTATCGCCATTGCGGAGTCGTGCTGGCCAGGCGTGAACATAAACCAAGAGCGGCAGTCGCCGCCCTGCAGCCCCCCTGGGTGTTGAGAGGTCGTTACGACATCACGCACCATTTGAGATTGTTTTGTTGACGAGTGCCAAATCATCATCGTCGTCATCATCAGCAGCCGCCACGACCGATAGCACTGCCGTCGCCACGGCTCGCGGTCTTGCGATGCAGCGCATTTACCGCTTGCTGCAGGAGCTCACGGTTCGATTTCCAGCGGCCGCCTTGGTTATTACTGCGGGGGTGTAATCACAATCAAGAATTGTACGCCGTCTGCTTCACAGTGGATGTTAAATATTCCCGAACGTCATTGCAAGGGGAGACCGTTACCAAATAAAAACGTGTAAGTGTTTCAGTCTGGATGGCACACACAGCAGCAATCATCGCCGCACCCCGCTCCGGATTGGCAGATTGATGCCCCCAGGTCACTCGTGCAAGCGAGACTCGTCCTCGTCAGATAGAAACGAGAGCGGTGACAACCATCGCGTGCTGTGCGAACGTCAAGTCCCGACCCCTCACCCCTCCCCTCCTCGACATGAAACAGTCTCCAGGCGGCTGCCCTGCCCCCACCACACCAACCCGTCCCGGCCAGAGGCAACACAACGACTTCAGCCGTCGGCGTTGACGCGGGAGCACGCGCACATAAACAGGGGAGACAAAGGCAGCCGTGACGACAAACACCACCAGCCCCGCCGCTCTCAGCCCTCCCAGCCACGCGGGTTCCCGCAGGTGCGCACGCCATGAAGGCGATGTGCCCGTGCCACTTCACCATTGCACGAACGTCTTCTCCAAAGGATAAAAATCCTCCCCATCCACCCCGTGTAGCCTGCACAGACTGCTGGGGCGAGTGCTGTTCGCGAGTAGCAGCACCTGCGAAGGCCGGCACTGTGGCACACGAGGGGGCGGGTGGCCAGCACCACGCCCGGCCGCCTTTGTCTCCCCCAGTGGCGATGTTTACTACACACCGCACTGGGTACTCATTTGAAGGCCGAGTCGACCTGTATGGTGTGTATGGTGTGGTGGTGTGTATGGTGTGTTGGTGTGTATGGTGTGGTGGTGTGTATGGTGTGGTACTACTGTGCAGGTCGTGATGGGGTGTGCTTCTCGGTCGTGTGGTGCAGTGTGGTGCAGCTTTATTACACTTGTTTGCCCAGGAAACCCTCACTAGGTCCTGAATCTGAATGGGGTGACTATTTTGATGCGTTTCCCAATGAAGTAATTGTGGGTGCATTTGGCACATTTGGACCATGGCACCGGCATTACAATGGACGACTCTTCTTTGAATGACGTTGTGTGATCTTTAACATCCACTGTGGAGCGGACGACGCGTATTTTCCGGTTAATGCGCCCGTAGTTTTAACCAGGGCTGCCTGCCGGATTCCAACCGCGTGCCTCTGCGGTGTGTCAGGTTTCATACTAGGGGGTGGTGCGTAGCGCAACAGGAGGTGTAGTACAATGCAATGTGGGGGTGCGGGGCGTTAGCAGACGGGGTGTCGAAGGGCGGATGGTGAGGTACATCGTAGTAGTGTGGTGAGGCGAGGCGAGCTATGGTGCAGTGCTGACCGTGGGGAGGACAGTGCCAGCGCGCAGTAGTGCTTCCACGCCTGCAGCAGCGCCGGGCAGAGGGCGCGCTGCTCCGTGTGCTGCAGCAAGACGCCCGCCAGCCGTGGGCTCTCACGGCACCTACCCCACGGGCAGCGGAGCCACGGACAGACACGCGCAGACGCATGCACATCACGGACAGACAAAAACGCATCGACAGAAGGATGGATACACAAACAGACGTACAGATGGACAGATGGACACGGCCACACCGACAGATGGGCAAATAGATGTAAACACAGACAGGACACAGGTGTACATACACACGGACATACGTACAGACGAACACACACATGCAGATGGACGGAGCAGAGCACACACACATCACTTAGACGCTCGCACATTCGCAAACAACTGGAGCCAGATTCAACGAGTTCTCATTAAGTGTGCATTTACCCGCACTCGAGCTCCCACTCTAATCCTGAGAGCCATGGGGGTTGGGGGGGGTGCCGAGGGATGGGCGGTCCGCACCTGCGTAGAATCATGCGGACGGCCGGGTGCGTGAAGCTGAGGTGGCCCAGCGCGAGGGCGGCGGTGCGGCGCACGCGCTCCGAGGGCCCGTCCAGCAGCGGCCACAGCAGCTGCACCACGTCCACAGCCACCAGCGCCTCGGGGACGCCTGTGGATTCACACACACACAGACAGATACTACAGATACAGGTCCCCTGTGTAGCCTACGCTGCCGGGTGTCTCTGTGCCCTTAGCAAGCACCTATGAAGGCCAGGCCAAAGCCCGGGTGAGCTTTGACCCGTAGCACACAGGGCTGCTTTTGTCTCCCCAGTGCTGATAGTTTAAAATGAATTAAATAATACATTCGCATTTTATTCGCATGAATCGCAAATGAGAATTTCTTAAGCGTAGGGGTCAAGGGTTGTTTCGCGAGTGAGAGAACCGATTTAAAAATTGGCGATGGGACGAATTCACCTGCGTGCATGTCCGTGCGTGTGTGCCCATGCCTTCGTGCGTGCGTGCCAGCCGAGCAATGCAGTCGGCCGCCAGCTCCACAGTCTCCTTGTCACCCCGCGAGCGACACAGCGAGTCCACCAGCACCCCCATGCCCCTCGCCCGCAGGGATGCCGCCTTCCCGTCCACCACTGCCCGCGCCAGCACCACCACCTACGAAGCAGCGGGATCACCGGGGTTTCCCCATCACGGGTTGACATCAAAACACGAATAAATTCAGTATTCGTGTCGCTGTGTTTCACAGATGACCATCGTCTGCAGGGGTTTCACAGTAAGAGTCAATGTTGCGGTGGGGCTTTACTCAATTAGGTATTTTTTATTTTGTAAGTTGGACCCTGACGAAAACTCACAAGGGCCCACTAATGTCCACCGTGAAACAGACAGCGCGTGGTGTTAATGGCTGATACACACTGCAGTATTAAACAGTGGCCGCTGGGCTTGAGCTGCAAACCTCTGCAATAAATGACAAACAAGCCCTGGGCCACGTCACCACCCCAAATCCAATTCACTCCAGCACTTGATTGTCAAATCATCGCGTTCCATTAACTACTCATTCCTCCTTCGGTTCACCACCGCCACCAGGGGCAGGATGAAGGACATCACTGGGTCGGTACGGTAACCGGACAAGGAGGTCAGCAAAGTGAAGAAGGTGGGAGAGTTAGAAGGTCGGCAGGGTGAAGAGGGTGACACGATGAGGAGAGTGGTAGGGTGAGGATGGGGCATTGCAGAGAATGCCGCCAGGCAAGGAGGACAAGGATGACGGTGACATCAGCTCAGCCGCTTGGCCAAAACGCGTGTGGGGGCCAGCGGGGGAAGGTGGTGCAGAGGTCGCGCAGCTCTCCGGAAATCTCGGGCACGGGTGGGCAGGCGGCGCACACGCGCCTGGAAAGCGGCGCCGACGCGGTTGCGCTCGTGCTGCGAGTCGAGCGCCGGCAGGAGGTGCCGCGAGCGTAGGCCGCCCGCCCGCTGGATCTGCCGCAGTGTGCCGGGGCTCTGGAACGCCAGCGCGGCCAGGGCGGCACCTGTGCCCACGCGCACCGCCTCGTCCACTGGCGCGGAGCGCAGCAGCCGCAGCAGGCGCTCCACCAGCTCGGCCACGCGGGCACTTGCGGCCGGCCTCGCAGGGTTTCCTGCGAGTCCGGCGCAACCGAAAAATAAATGCGGATCGACCCGGAAGAGGCGCCTCGAGCACCGTGCAGGCGTTCGTGCTGGCGACTGCTGTACGAGGATTCCCCCAAACACGCGGCAGTGCGGGGGAGCACGTGAAGCAGCTCATCCGGAGATTCAGATCAGAGGGACCCTCACGGTCAAGCATACCGTCCGTCTCGTTTGTGCCATGACATTGGCATAAATGGTAACAACACCACAAGGTCCGTACATAATTTTCATTGCTCGTGAATAACACATTCTCACCGCGCGATTTTCTCCACGTATCGGGAGCGTGGGAGTAGGTTTACACTCAACTGATCGACGCGTCATCGTTACGCACTTCAGTGTAAACAAAGTGCGTTTGGCCGATCCGGGAATCACGCACTTGCACCGTTCAGCGCCGGCGGGCGCCACCTCACCGAGCCACACGCTGGCGAGGGTCCAGATGGCCTCCACCTGCACCTCGGGGGTCCTGGGGGGCCCCGGGGGTGCCGGTGATGTGGCGGGCCCCACCAGCTCCAGCAGGAAGTCCACGCAGGGGGAGTTCAAGACCTGCAGCTGGTGCACCGGACTTGGCACGTAGCCTGCAACCGGCACCCGCAATGGCAAATCGGCACCAGCGACCGATCGTGGTAGCAAAAAATAAACAACCCATTGCTGAATTACTTGCAAATTACGGAACCCCATCCTACCAAGCCACCACCATCCCTCACTTCCCGCCACCACCATTCGACCCCTTCCCACCAGCACCACCATGGCCACCACACACCATCCTTCTATCAGAGTCTTTATTTAGACTGTAGGAATCCCATGAGCTGTAAAGCTCTTTTTCACAGATGTCTAACTCACCACCACCATCACCACCATCACCACCAGAGAGATTCCCTTCAGTCGCCTGGCACGTACCGACTTCGAGGCAGATTGCCCGCAGCGCCGGCAGCGTGGCCAGCAGCACGGGGTGGCTTCGCGTCTGCAGCAGGCGCAGCAGGGCCTGCACCAGCGGGGAGGGCGCGGGGGTCGCCGTCACGCTGGGGGGGCGCCCCCCCACAGCGCCGGGGCCCCCCCGTGCCAGCGCGCTCATGCCCCACGCGCCCAGCAGCTGCAGGCGCTCCGTGGCCGAGTGCGCAAACTCCACCAGCGTCTCGGCACCTGCGGTGCGGCCCACGAGCGGTGTCAGCGAGAGGAATCGGTCAATCGACTCTCGTCGTAGCGAGACGCCATTGTGGCCCCAGCCGTCTGCACCACCACAGCTCACCAACACGTTTTACCACATTTACATTTCACATTTAAAACATTGCAGAGTTTGGAATTCTGGAAATGTAAGGTCAATATGTCATATTCGGACGATTTGCATAAAGTGATATTTCACGGGTCTCCGTGCCAACTAATGGGATGCCACCCAATGCCGCCACTTTACCGATTTGGGCAGTGCACACGTAATTTGCAATCGCACAGGTGTGGATCGATCCAAATCTACGGGGTTTATTTTCAGATGAACCACATTTTCTATCTAGGCGGCAGTTTTGGATATTTAACACTGCAGTGGTGCAGTGGTGGCGATCGGTGGTTGCGCTGGGGCCAAGCGGTGGTTGAGCTGGGGGCGAGCGGTGTTGCGGTGCATGCACTGCGAGCCGGTGGCGGCGACGAGCAGCGGTGCGGCGCTCACCCATCGTGGTGGCGAGGGCCGTCTCGCGGTCAATGTCACCGCCGGCCAAGGCCCAGAGTGCGGTTCCCGCGGCCTCCAGGACGCGCTCCACCCGGGACCTACGCAGCAGCTGAAGCATCGGGGCGGCGGCCCCCAGCTCCAGGGTCGTGCGCCGAGCCCCCTCATTCCCCTCCACAAGCCTGGCCACGGCGCGTCACGACCATTCACAATGCATCGCTGCGAGTTTCACCTCGCGATTCTATAATGCCCACATCGTTTGAAAAGGCGAATTCATTGATCGCAGGTGTGATGAAATTGCCTGGTTTTGGGGGCTCCGGTGATCAATGTGGCTGGTTTTCTGCAGGACAAGTCCATAACAGCAACCCAGCTTTATGCTAATATTTAATTGATGGGCAACATTGTGATCCGTCCCCATCCTCCCCTACAGACAGACAAACAGAGCTAATGCATTAACACTTTGAACTTTGGCTGTAAAGGGTTAATAGGCAAGTCCTGCGTGTGCTGTACCAACATATAACCCACGTGCCCACTTAACTCATGGAATTTTCCTGACAAAGAGTCTTTACACGTACAGCGAGGTGGATGGACAGAGGTGGACGGAGCCGAGGTGCTTTCAGCCTTAGTTTGGAATGCGTAAAAAAAACTGGCGCAATGCCGCAAATTAAGGTCACCTCACCCTCGCAGGGCCTCGATGGCGCACAGCTGGAGCTCTCGGGACGGGGCTCTGGCCAGACGGACAAGTGCAGCCGCCCCTCCCCCCACCACCAGAGCGTCCTGGTTGTGTGCCTGTCCCGCTGCGATGGCGCCCGCCGCCCGGCACAGCGCCAGGGCGGCGGGCCCCTCTCTCGGCACGCGTGCCAGCAGGCCGCACAGCGCCAGCAGGAATCCCCTCTGCTTCCCGACGGCGTGCTGGCAGCTGGCGTCACCCTCGGCTATTAGGCCCAGCGCCTCCACGGCCATCGCGGCACACTGCAGGCCATCATTGTCATCATCGTCGTTTTTATTGTCATTTGATGCGGCCACGACCTGCGCCGCTTTGGCCAGCGCCGAGACGGCATCGGCAGCCACCAACGCCGCCCTGTGCTCCCGTAGCCCCGCCACCTCCCGGAGCACCTCCAGGGCGCCCCGCAGGGATGGGTTGGGGCCGGCGCCTCCGACGACGCCGACCAGCAGCTGAACAAAGCCGCCGGTGGCCACGACGAGACCGCGGCCCAGCGGGTGTCGCGCCATCGCGGCCAGGACACGCAAGCTCCCGACGCACGCCACGGCCCCGCCGAACGTGCCCAGCACCCTCAAAAGGACCGGCGCCAGGCCCTCCCGTGCCAGCGCCTCCAGGTGCCGGTCGGCGAAGTCGCGCCGCGCCAGCAGCTCGGCAACGGCGCAGCTCACGGCCTCCGCCACGTCGCCGTTGTCGGAGCCGATTCCCCTCACCAGCAGCCGGTGCGTACGGAACGGCCGGTTCGCCGGCGCCGGCAGGTCCAGCAGGCGCTCCAGCGCCTCCGCGCCGCCGTGCAGCGCGCACAGTTCCACCAGGCCACGGTTGCGCATGTCTGTGGCGTCGAGGCGGGCGCCGCGCGCGACCAACAGCTCCAAGCAGCGGCGGCGCCCGGGCCCGGCGGCCGCCAGCAGCAGCGGCGTGGAGTGCAGGCCGTCGCGCGTCTCCAGCTCCAGCTGCTCGGCAGCGGCTCCGGGCTGCGCCAGCAGGGCCTCCAGGGCAGCCGCGTCGTCCTCGTGGGCCGCGCGGTGCACGGGCGCCCATCCCTGCTCGTCAAACGTCTCCATCGGAGTGCGGGGACACGAGGATACCTGCGGAATTCCACGGAAATCAGGGGCAAGTGTCGGTACATGGAAATTTATTTACAGTAGGTCCAAAAATATATTTCAATTTGACTTCAAGAAAGAACGTTTATATAATAAGCTGTGAATTTGCCAATCAACAAAACCGCCATTTGAAGTCCAAATACAACTTTATACAACAGCTACGAGATGAGATGTGCCACTTGGAGATATTTGGCAGCAATCTCGGATCCCCAAGGCTGTCGTATTCAGCAGCCTTTATACTGCCATAGACTCCACCACGACACCTTAGTGCCCGTTAATGTGTCACGGACTCCAATTGTTTCCTTCACGATCAGGATTATCCAAGGTGAACCGGTCGGAGCTGCGGTCATTTTACAGCACATCTTAGCAACGAGACCAAAACGAGGGTCAACATTCAGCAGTTTGCGGTTGACTCGCTCGGCTTGCGGTGCTGCTGCAGGTGGTGATTATTTTAGCAGAATCGCCGGGTGATTTGTCACCTGCGACCGCTTATATACGAATCCCACTGCAGTCAAAACATTCGTTTGTAGCGTACCATTTGCACAGTCCAGACTAAATGGACTAAATCCATCACCCAGAAGCCACAACAAGGACCCTTTCTCCAGCAAGGGAGAGCTGGGATGCAGAACATTGTTTTAATTCATCATCATTCATATTCCATCCACCGTTGGCTGATGCCCTCCCTATGCTATTACCATCCGGAAGGGTTCCATCTCCTGCATACGGACCGATCTCATCGCTCCGCCTCCACCATGGCGGTCCTCTCCGACGCGTTCCCTCTGGCTGCTATTCCGTCACCGGTCTCTTCCGCGGGTCATCAACAAGCAACATGACAGGATTTCGAGACCCACAGGGAGGGGACTCAAACCCCTCGACCAACCTCTCCCTCACTACCCTGCTGGTCCCCATGAGTGGGTTCTTCCACCACGTGGGAGTCCACCGACAAACCGCGTCCCGAGCAAGGAGAGCGGGTCACTGCAGACGACACTGCAGTGCATAAACATCGTTTAAGGAGGCCATCAATGGTGCAGTCTCGAGCAAGGGAGAGATGGACTACTGCAGGGAAAACACCACGACATGGGGGAGGGGTCCGCCAATACTGGCTCACCTAACACCCCCCCGCCCCCACCTGCAGACAGACCTACTGCTGTTCAACTTCACCCCAACATTCACACTCGAGCCCCAGTTAAAAGCCGACCGCCATATAAACTCCAAGCACAGCTAACCCCCAAGTCCCAGCAGGTAACCCCATGAACCCAGCGGGTAACCTCGTGCCCCAGCAGGTGACCCCGCGCCCCAGCAGGTAACCCCGTGTCCAAGCAGGTGACCCCGTGTCCCAGCAGGTAACCCCGTGTCCCAGCAGGTGACCCCGTGTCCCAGCAGGTAACCCCAAGTCCCAACAGGTAACCCCGTGTCCCAATATGTAACCCCGTGTCCCAGCAGGTAACCCCGTGCCCCAGCAGGTAACCCCAAGTCCCAGCAGGTGACCCTGTGCCCCAGCAGGTAACCCCGTGCCCCAGCAGGTAACCCCGTGCCCCAGCAGGTAACCCCAAGTCCCAGCAGGTGACCCCGTGCCCCAGCAGGTAACCCCGTGCCCCAGCAGGTAACCCCAAGTCCCAGCAGGTGACCCCGTGTCCCAGCAGGTGACCCCGTGTCCCAGCAGGTAACCCCGTGTCCCAGCAGGTAACCCCGTGCCCCAGCAGGTAACCCCGTGTCCCAGCAGGTAAGCCCAAGTCCCAGCAGGTGACCCCGTGTCCCAGCAGGTGACCCCGTGTCCCAGCAGGTAACCCCAAGTCCCAGCAGGTAACCCCAAGTCCCAGCAGGTGACCCCGTGTCCCAGCAGGTAACCCCGTGCCCCAGCAGATAACCCCAAGTCCCAGCAGATAATCCCAAGTCCCAGCAGGTAACCCGTGTCCCAGCAGGTAACCCCAAGTCCCAGCAGGTAACCCCGTGTCCCAGCAGGTGACCCCGTGTCCCAGCAGGTAACCCCAAGTCCCAACAGGTAACCCCGTGTCCCAATATGTAACCCCGTGTCCCAGCAGGTAACCCCGTGTCCCAGCAGGTAACCCCAAGTCCCAGCAGGTGACCCCGTGCCCCAGCAGGTAACCCCGTGCCCCAGCAGGTAACCCCGTGCCCCAGCAGGTAACCCCAAGTCCCAGCAGGTGACCCCGTGCCCCAGCAGGTAACCCCGTGCCCCAGCAGGTGACCCCGTGTCCCAGCAGGTGACCCCGTGTCCCAGCAGGTAACCCCGTGCCCCAGCAGGTAATCCCAAGTCCCAGCAGGCAACCCCGTGCCCCAGCAGGTAACCCCGTGCCCCAGCAGGTAATCCCAAGTCCCAGCAGGCAACCCCGTGCCCCAGCAGGTGACCCCGTGTCCCAGCAGGTAACCCCAAGTCCCAGCAGGTAACCCCGTGTCCCAGTAGGTGACCCCGTGTCCCAGCAGGTAACCCCGTGTCCCAGCAGGTAACCCCAAGTCCTAGCAGGTGACCCCAGCAGGTAACCCTAAGTCCCAGCAGGTAACCCCGTGTCCCAGCAGGTAACCCCAAGTCCCAGCAGGTGACCCCGTGTCCCAGCAGGTAACCCTGTGTCCCAGCAGGTAACCCCAAGTCCTAGCAGGTGACCCCGTGTCCCAGCAGGTAACCCCGTGTCCCAGCAGGTAACCCCAAGTCCCAGCAGGTAACCCCGTGTCCCAGTAGGTGACCCCAAGTCCCAGCAGGTGACCCCGTGTCCCAGCAGGTAACCCCAAGTCCCAGCAGGTAACCCCGTGTCCCAGCAGGTGACCCCGTGTCCCAGCAGGTGACCCCGTGTCCCAGCAGGTGACCCCGTGTCCCAGCAGGTAACCCCGTGTCCCAGCAGGTAACCCCGTGTCCCGCTGACCTGTCGTCGTCGTCTCCCGTCCGCGTCTTGGCTCTGGCCCCAGTGAGGTCGCGCTGAGCGGAGCCCCGCGGCTCCTCCTCCGCCTCCCTGCATCAACAACCCCCCTCCTCCCTCATCATCATCCTCCCTCCTCCTCCTCCCTCATCATCATCCTTTCTCCTCCTCCCTCATCATCATTCTCCCTCCTCCTCCCTCATCATCATCCTCCCTCCTCCTCCCTCATCATCATCCTCCCTCCTCCTCCCTCATCATCATCATCCTCCCTCATCATAATTCTCCCTCCTCCCTCATCATCATCCTCCCTCCCTCATCATCATTCTCCCTCCTCCCTCTCCCTCATCATCATTCTCCCTCCTCCTCCCTCATCATCATTCTCCCTCCTCCCTCATCATCATTCTCCCTCCTCCTCCCTCATCATCATTCTCCTTTCTCCCTCCTCCTCCTCCTCCTCCTCATCATCATTCTCCCTCCTCCCTCTCCCTCATCATCATTCTCCCTCCTCCTCCTCCTCCTCCTCCTCATCATCATCATTCTCCCTCCTCCCTCTCCCTCATTATCATTCTACCCCCTCCCTCATCAGCCTCCCCCCTCTTCTTCACAACCCCCTTACCCAAACTTCCTTTTCATCAACACCCTCCTCCCCCGTCTCCTCATTCACAGCCATCGTCCTCCTTCCCCTCTCCATCACTTTTCTCTCTCGCTTCTTTCTAATTCCCCGCCACCATCCTCCCCTCTCCCATCTCCATCCGTGCATCGCCATCCTCCTCCCCCCATCCTCCTCCCCCCATCCTCTTTCGAGTCTCCTCCCCCCCATCAACACCGCCACGCCTCGTCCCTCTTCTTCCTCCCCCGTCTCCCTTGGTCTCCGCGTAGCTCCGCGCTTCTCATCCTCCACCTCCTCGCCACCATCACCCACCTCCCTCCTCACCCCGCATCTGGCCATGGTAGAGGGGGGGGGGCAGTGAGCGTGCCACTCGCTGCTTCTGGGGGGTGACCCCCCTCGTCCCGTCGTCACAAACTTGCCACTTAGCGAGTGAAAGTGGTCACACAGAGGGGGGGGGGGGGACGGTAACGATGCAATCTTAATGCGTGATGGGGTAATTGGCGAACAAGTCATTGATTAATTACGTAATCCGTCGTGAGGTAATTTGCGATCGGGTAATTGGTGATGAGAGCATTGATGAGGTAATTAGTGATTAGGTAACGGTGGTGAGGTAATTGGTGATGAGGTAACGGTGATGAGGTAATCAGTGATGAGGTAATGGTGATGAGGTAATTGGTGATGAAATGTCGGTGATGAGGTAATCAGTGATGAGGTAACGGTGATGAGGTAATCAGTGATGGGGTAATGGTGATGAGGTAATTGGTGATGAAGTGACGGTGATGAGGTAATCAGTGATGGGGTAATGGTGATGAGGTAATTGGTGATGAAGTGACGGTGATGAGGTAATCAGTGATGGGGTAATGGTGATGAGGTAATCAGTGATGGGGTAATGGTGATGAGGTAACGGTGATGAGGTAATTGGTGATGAAGTGACGGTGATGAGGTAATCAGTGATGGGGTAATGGTGATGAGATAATTGGTGATGAAGTGATTGGCGATGAGGTAAGGGGCCGTCCATAAATGACGTCACGCGATTTTGGACGATTTTGACCCCCCCCCCTCGTCACACGGCGTCACAAAAAGTCAGACCCCCCCTCAAATATGACGTCATAAAGCTCTGCCCCCCCCCAAACCATATTTCCATTTTTACAATAAAACATTCTTCAAATCACTTTAAACTATTGTCATTTTAGTGCGTATTTAATGTGATGCTGCACTCTGACGTTGTAGGAGAAAGCATTGATTAAAAAGGAGGCGTTGGAAAGCTTAAATTTAGCATACAATTCACTTGAAAATATTCATCGTCTGACTATAATTGCAGATGTTCAGAATATTATATTGAAATTCTCTTATAATTATCATACATTAAAAGTAATTATAGCTATAAAAAATACGTGAAACTTTGTAGTGGAATGAAGCAAAATGTAGAGTACAATTATAACGATCACGTATTCATTCCACAGAATGAAAGCCCTGGTAGAATCATTAAAATAAAAATGTTGAATAACTAAATTTATGCTTCTCCATTCTCCGATGGAGAAGCAAAATGCTCCTTCATGGAATGAATAAAAGATGACCTTAGTCAATTTAAATAATCAAATAGTTAATAATTAAAATTAATCAAAATTAGTGTTATAACAGTTATATTTAATTAAGTAAAACGTGTTGTTTATATTTAGTTGCGCATTTTGATGTGACGTCACATTTCTCACCCTCCACCCTCGTCACGTATCGTCACACATCGTCACAAATGTCTGACCCCGCCCCCCCCAGATGCGTGACGTCATTATGGACGGCCTCTAATCCATGATGAAATTATTGTTGATGAGACCGAGTTAATGGGTTTATAACGCTGTCATTAGTGAGGGGTTACCACAGGAGGTAATGAGGCAGTTTTGTTTAATTATTGTAATTGATAATGAGGTTATGCTGTTGTAATTAATAATAATTATCGTCGTGAATATTATAATTGTTTAATCACCCCCCACCCATCACGCGCCATGTGCCCGTTTCCTGTCCGACGCCACGGACTCGGCAGTGGTTGGGCCTGGGGAGTGCCCGGAGGGACGACCACCACCACCACCACCGTGCATACCAGATGCTATAGGCTGCTGCGGGGCGACAGTGCTGGCTGCAGTGGTTGGTGCAGAACAATGAATTGTACTGTGCTTCTATGCTCCCCACCGTCACCAACCCCCGGTGAATTATAGTCACATATGCTCCGCGATCCTGCAAAGCTGTGAAAGGAGGCCGTCATCCAGCAGTGGATTGACCAAGGACTGCCAAACGCGTACAATAAATGAGTGTTTTATCCGTGACGAGAGTGGACGCGTGTCAACAAGCAATGGTGTGGCTTTAAGAGGCGCCTTGCACACGCTATACAATCGTGGGGCCTGTGGCGCAATGGATAACGCGTCTGACTACGGATCAGAAGATTGTAGGTTCGACTCCTGCCAGGCTCGATTTTTTATATTGTTTTTAATTGACTCACCGTAATGCGTTTTCTTTATTTATACGGAACGTCATTTACTAGCACGTCGCATAATTCGCGTTCGCATCCAACACGTAGATTGTGTTAAAATATAGTTTTACCGTTGTTAACCGAACCCAGTCTGGCACGTGTGATGTGCTGCCCCCTATGTGACGGCGTGGGGGCTGCATGCAATCCGCACTGGCCCAGGAGCTCCACCCAGAGACCTTGCGCTCAAATGAGCAGAGGCGGTGCTCTTCATCCCGTTTATAGCCCTTAGCCAGTGGTGGAAATTCCACGTTCCCAGGGCAGCAGTGAATGTATCGATGAGGGCGGAGACATGGCCGAACGGTAGCGCGTTCAAACATATCCTGAACGCAGAAGTGCCGGATTCAACCACTCTTTGATCCTCCTTACCAGCCGTGTGTCGATCATTCAACTTGAACGTGACATTTTTTTGAGCGACTGTTTTTGTCGTTTTCCGCCTTGCCCAAGCTATTTAGTGACTTACCTTTTTATTTGCACTCCTAGAGTTGTTTGTATTGCTTGTTATTAAAGCTCGCTGACCCATCCCCACTTGACATGCGAAAGAGCATCAAAGCTCATCGGATTCCTCCTACAGTCGAAATATACTCATTCTGTTCACCGATTGTTACGGCGGCCCGCAGTTCGAAGGCAACGGCCGCCCTGATTAATACCGCGGGAGTGATAACCATTCCTCTCCGACACGCAGTCCCGCTTCACCATTGACGTTAAAGATCCTGGGACGTCATCGACAAAGTATGCCATTGTGCACCAGCATCTGAGGGTCCAGATTTGAAAATGACTCACAAATTACTCGTCGCAATGATAGTAATTATCACCGCTTACGACGAGCAGCCTCAGTTCCCAGGTTACTGTTGCAAATTTGTCTCCTTAGGGGCCGTCCATTAATGACGTCACGCGATTTTGGACGATTTTTTACCCACCCCCTCGTCACACGGCGTCACAAAAAAGTCAGACCCCCCCTCTCGAATATGACGTCACAAAGCTCTGCCCCCCCCCAAAAGAAAAAAAACATGCTTCAAATCGCTTTAAACTATTGTCATTGAAGTGCGTATTTAATGTGGCGCTGCACTCTGATGTTGTACGAGAAAACATTAAAAAGTCTATTTAATTGAGTAGAACGTGTCTCTATGTATTTAAAGTTGCGCATTTTGATGTGACGTCACATTTCTCAACCCCCCCCCCCTCGTCACACATCGTCACAAATGTCTGACCCCCCCCCCCCCTCCTAGGTGCGTGACGCCATTTATTGACGGCCCCTTATGGTATCTTGAGTTAACCAAAAGTAAACTTGAAACCCCTGTTGACTCTCGGGCTGCCACCAGTCTGGGCTTGACCCAGGCAGCCCGGGAGTTGACGTTTGTGTTGGGGTGGCAGGAATGTATTTGTACCGAGGTCTGGTGGCACTGCACGAGGTGAGGGGGCGAGTTCAGTGACACCACCGGCATCACCAGGCGCTCGGCGTGGCTTGTTGGGGGGTTTCCCGCCATCAGGAGACGCAATGTGGGAGCAGCTGCCACCAATTCTTTTTTAATGGGCCGAGAAATCGATCACAAGACAAGTGGTCGATTCTCTTTGGTTCTATTCGGTAAAGTCATGTGACTTTACCGAATACAACCAAAGAGTATGGATCCTTGCAGTCACGAAAGCTATAAATCTAGAAGTGGTCGATTACAATTCCCGATCGACTCATCATCGCAGTTCGACTCAAACCCCCTTTAATGAGCAGACTACAGCCCGTTACATTCAGACATCTTTCGAATTTATTTGAGACACCTTACAGATGTACGCAGTCGTGCCATTTTTAACCCACAGAGCAACATGGAATCAGAACAAAATAAAAAAGCACAATGTATTTCTTCACTAATGGTGTTATGTTACAGAGAAAAGACGCACACTTGGCTTACATTTGCCCAAGCCTGCTGCTGAAGAGGTGGCATCAGTGGTGTCGTGTGGCAGGCACTGGTCCTGGTACAAAACAGTAAATGCACATCCCTTCCCCCATGTCTGCCTTCCAAACCCCTCCTCGAGGCCTGGATCCTAGGCCCCTACAGCCTGTGGGATACGGTGCAATTGCATTGCCTGTACACTCGATAGCCATGCCCATTGCTCTGTGGTGAAATTATGCAGTGGGAGGTTAAGAACGTGTTTGAAGGGGATGACTGCGCTGCAGAGATTGATATAATGGCTGATGATGGTGAATCTGCAGTGCACATTGATCATGACCGATTATGAGGGGATTGAGCAGCTGAAGAGCGAGCAGCCTCGGTGGGTGAGGCAGTCCAAGTGGATGATCGCGAAGTCTGCGTTTGGTCGCCCACGCTCCGTCGCATGGTTCAGCTCTCGGGAGTCACGCTGCTGCGTCGACGGTACGAGCCGCAAGCGGCAGCACCGACTTCGCGTCGCCGGCCCCCCCTCCTTGCTCGCCGCGATGGCTCGGGGCCCAGGCCACGGCCGCCTTGGTCACGCCGCGTTCTTCCTGAACTCCCGGAGCGCCCACTTCTTGTTGTCGATGGCATCGCGCAGCTGCGTGTACTCCTGCACGAGCCGCTCGAAATCGGGCCCCAGCGTCCCGTACGCGGCCAGCTCACCGCTCACCCGTGCCTGCTCCTTCTTCTGTGTGGCCATGGCGGCCTCCAGCTCTCTCCTACGGCATCGGGGAAAACGGCTGCTGTGCGAGCGACGTTGACGACCCGAAGCGTTTCGTCAGCGGCGCGGTCGTTCGATGCCGCGTCCCGTGACCCTGTGGCCAATTCGACGGGAATACTCCCGATCGATTGGATCTCGGACGCGAAGCGAGGTCGAGTCTGGATAGTGTTTGGATGGGCAACCACCGTGCATTTGGACCAGGATGCCGGCATACACGGTCTGCTATTTCAGAATAACCTTGTCGCGGCGGTTTGCGGACTGTGCTACATGGCGGTCAGCAGAGGGCAGTGCGGCAAAATCGATTGCATTGCTTCACTTCTCTCATTGCACGTGTGTGCACGTGACCTGCCTTTACCCCTGCACTGACCAGCGTGGTGAAGTACGGTGAAATAACCCCCGCCACCCGCACGGCGTGAGAAGCAACTCATCCAGCAGTGGATTAACAAAAGGGTTGTACACGTCATCTTCAAACACATGGCTGGTGTTAACTGATAACGGTGCGAGGTGATTTATAATTACATGGAAAATCCAGAAAATGTTGACGTTTGCACCACGTACTTGATGATCTTGTGGGCCTGCACCTTGTCGAGGGTGTATGTATCACACAGAATATTCAGTTCCTCGAGCCTGCAGTGCGGACAGAGCGGAACTCTTGAGCATAATCCCCAACACATCCACCCGACTGTAATAAAAAACCTACATTTTTATAAACAATCATTTATAACACGGCATTCTTACAGCGGCGCAAAACTATCGCGAAAGCGCAGTGGTGGAATTTCCACATTCCGATAGAAGGGGCGAGTTTTGTCCATAGGACAACCACTGTTGATAGTCTGCCAGTAGAAGGCGATGTTGCTACGTTGTTGTACAAAATACGGTAGTTTGCAGATAACTTTCTCCAATCTGGAAAATGGACACTGTGACCTCAGCACTTATTCGCTCACTTTTTTTTCATAACATCACGGGATCTTTAACGTCCACTGTTGTAGTCGATTAATTTCGGGTAAGGTCCATTGAGCTAAGGCAATATTTTTCAATGGCAACCAGGCAGATGGCGCATATTATTCTTGGTTAATACAGCTGCAAGGCGAACGGGAGGCGAGTGGTTTGCGAGGCCCTCACCGCAGCTTGAGGCACATGGTCTTGTGCTTGGCCTGCAGGTAGGCCACCTTCACGGCGTCACTCTCGGCCTGACGCGACAGGCGGTGGTCTTGCAGCATTTTCTCCAGCACCGCCGTGGAGGCCTGCAGCGTCTACAAATACGGGTCATCAGCTCACTTGGTCAGCGCTCGCAGCACACGCACACCGGACCCCTAGGCTCACTCTAATACCTCTTTTTCACAGATAACTGAACCGCGCTGGGGCCGCGCCCAGCCACCCTGACACGGCTCAGGAGGTGCCAAAAGCCGGGCCGTGCCACTATCGCACGCAATTAATCTGTTGAGACGTGTGTGGATAATGCGGCGTCGCGATGTTCTCAGTTTGAGTAACGTCACACGCGGTTAACACGTGACCGTGCTCTTCCCCATCCTTCCAATAGAGCGGTAAATCACCACAATTCCTTCAGAGCTTCACAAGAGTTGTTACCCGCAAGCATATGGAGCAAGCGCGTGGAGGAGGCACCTTGAGGTGGGTGCTGACGTGAGTATCGTGCGCGATCCGCAGCTCGCACAGCCGAGCGGCGCCGCCTTGCACGGCCTGCTGCTCGGCACGCACCAGCTCGTGCAAGCGGCACGCCTTGGCCAGGCGCAGTGCATCGCTCTCCGCGTCCCCTGTGCGCAGCACACGGCAGAACCGCCAAGTAACTTGTAGGTATGTATGTTGAACTTCTTTCGCACCATACGTAGCCAACTGTGCTAATCGGAGGTGCAACTTGGGACACTGCGGCGTCGACAATCTGCTGCCAAAGGTCACGCCTGAAGCCTTCAGGGGACGCGGACTCGTTGAGAGTTGCAAGTATTTCTGCAGAATAGGGCTGGGAAGCCAATGGCCCTGCGGCTTCATTTCACACGACGGCCCGTGGTCACTTGAGACCTGCCACTTTGTAACGGCATGCAAACAAAATGTATCCATCACTGCATCTTAGCCCAACTGGTTCGATGCAAGAGGGAAAATATGTTCAAAGCGGTGATGACACTAATTTGTAATTTTAGCACCATTCTCAGTCGCTTCTGCCACTCAAAGGGCCTCTTTATACACGGTTGACACACACGTTATTATTGGGAGTTTTTGTGTAAATGTGTGCCCCTGCCAAAGGTGCTAGAAAGTCCAATTCAGCCCTCGATGAGAAGGTTCCGCAACGTTGCTGTAGAGGATGCGGTTGAGTCGGGGCTTCACTGGCTGCCGTGTGAGATTGCGAAGTCTGGCTCTGCTGGACCTCACCCTGCGCCTTCTCTGGACTGAAGTAGTAGTAGAGAGACAAACACTTCTGGTTCAACTTCTGCTCCAACTCCTGGGCCAGCCTGTCCTTCATCTTATTCTGCTCCTGCAAACACGACGAGAACACAATAGTTGTAACGATCACTGTTTACAGCCATTTGCCAATCCGCTGTTGGATAAAGGTCTAAGCACGCCATGTCGTGCATGGCCGTTGTTTGAGCCGTATTTCACATGCTGGTCAATGCGGGTTGGTCAAGAGGGCACCTGGGACTTCTTCATATATCGCTCTCAACTGGCATTAGCCGTGGTCAGGACTGGAATCCGGGTTGCCAGATTCATGGCACGGTGTGCTAAGCACTCCGTTGCCGCTCGAGAGTGGTGAGTTATTCACGCCAGACTGCGCTGTATCGTGTACACAGCTGCCTGCCTGCTAAACGTGCCAGTGCCGTTTGATTAGAAGTACGAGCCCACAGCACTGGCAACAGTGTGTGCTGAAGTGTGGTGAATGGTGGAGTGATTCCACAGTGGTTAGCGACGTGTGCGAAGAACCTGGCGACCTGAGTTTGATTTCCCGGCTGTGGTTAACATCAGCAAGAGCGATGGCAGAACTGGTCTCTGGCCTTGCTTGCTTAGACTCGGCCCTAAATAAGTGCGGCGTCTAAACATCACTATCGGGGAGACAAAGGTGGCCGGGTGTTTCACATGGCTACGCCACCCCCACCTGCTGCGGCAACCTTGAAAGGCGCTCGCCAACAGCACTTTCGACAACATTAACTTTAGCCGACAAGATCAACTCATCGCCCCGGCCATCCTGCAGAGTGGCCGCACCTGAGCATTGGGCAGCAGCTGGCGGAGGTCGTCGCGGTGCAGCCTCAGCAGGGGCGGCTTGTCCTCTCTGTCGGAGTCCGTCCCGAGCAGACCGATGCTCTCCGTGACGAAGAGGCACTGCTCCAGTGTCTGGAAAAACTGCACGGCAGGAAAGCGCAACGACAGGCGGATAGAGGGGTCACCATTTCACACGCATCCGACAACCGCTCAACCTCGTCGCAGGATGCTTCACAACATGGAGTACATGAATAATAATACTAGTGCATAAAGTTCGTTAAAGTCTCACTTCACAAAGAATATTTTATATTCCTGACAAATCCAGCACTGTGGAGGTAGGGGTTGCTGGATCAGATAAATGTGGTGAAACTGCTTTCCCGTGATCATCATGGAGGTGTTATACCCTGGCTCGCCAGGAGAAGGCAGTACTGCAGGTGGACTAATCACCCCCTGTTTCCATCTGTACGGGGATGGTGTTGCCTCCATCACACAAGTTGGTGCTCCAGTTTCCTCCCACACGTATAATAAACACTCATCATTAATTGGCTGAATACATCTTTAAAGAAAAACCCAAAAGCAGGATCCTCCTGAAAGAGTCCTACGCCTCAGCATGTCTCTCCTGGAATATAAACAAATATACCGTACAAGTAAAGCCCGAGAGTCAATCCCCTGTTGGATGAAGGCCTCTCAAAGCTGTGTGGTTCGTGTGGGGTTACTTGACCACACTTCATCGCACTGGTCAGTGCGGGTTTGTGAAGGTGTGTAGCATAGACGTAGGAGCATTGAAGCACAGTACAACTGATTTTGCTGCACGGCCCACACAGTCCCCACGGCTTCCGAGATCTGACGAGAGCGTGTAAATTCTGGGTGGTTTGGTCGTAGGCGCGTGATTATTCCTGGAAACGTTCAAATTGACGCGTTCCATGGCGTGTGCGAATACATTACGCATTTGTCCTCGGAGGTGGCAACGTTGTTCCCAATCCGCATTTTGAGGTCACGCAAAATATCCTGGATCTCATCATACAGCACCTTCCCCTTGAGCCAGGCCACCTTGTGGGAATTCATCTCCTTCTCAGCCTGGCACCACACACCAATGACACCATCAATACCAATGACACCGACAAAATCAATGACACCGTCAAAAACGCGCCTGTACTTACACCACATAACCGTGATGACACCATCACCTCAAACCACCAGTCACATCGAAATATCAGCGCCAACAATTCGACATAACCACCACTCGCACACCCCAAAACCCACGCACCGCTACACCCACACCCAAAGCCACACTCGCCACCACCACTCACGTCGCCCTCACTCCACGGGGCAACGCGCACGCGGCCCGCACCTCCTGCACGCTGCGCCCGAGCGCCACGCGCCGCGCGAGGCTCCCCGCGGCCCGGGAGACGTCCAGCAGCAGCCTCGAGACCTCGGGCTCCGTGCCCGCGAGGAGCAGCAGTGGCTCGAGCTCCGGGAAGTCTGCGCCCGACGCGGCGGCTCGCGGCGCCGTCCCCGTCAGCTCGGGCGCCAGAGCCTGGCCACCGTCTCGGTGGCGACGGGGCAGCAGACCCGGCCACCTCGCCCTGCTGCTGCTGCCTGGAGTGGGCGGAGGACAACATCGGGCACAACGTTTGCTTGCACTCTTTGCTTGCGTTGTACTCCTTGAGTGTGTTGCACTCCTTGCTTGTGTTGCACAGAACAACCGTGAGATGTGGCGGAGAGGGCTTGGGGAGGCCTTCACCCAACAGCGGAACGAGCATGGTCGGTGATGGTGGGGGTACAGCACCTTGAGCCGCTGGTCGCTCCATCGCCGCCTTGACCGCAGGGAACGGGACGAACGGGAGGAATGAGAGTGACGGGAGGAATGAGAGTGGCGGGAGGAATGAGAGTGACTAAAAGAATGAAAGTAACGGGAGGAATGAGTTTTCGGGATCGGAACAGCGACTTGAGTTTCCCGCCGACTCCCACAGTGCACCACGTGACTACGGTAGCCCGCGTGCACGCGAGGGAGTTGTCGGGGGGGGGGGGGTGACGAACACGTGAAACGCGATTCGTAAATGTGAGAGTGTGGGTCTGTGTAAACCATACAGTACTGTACAACACCAAATGTACAGGTGAAGGATGCATAGAGTAATCGATTAATGATTAATAATTTATTGAGTGTGATAATGACGATCGTGATGATGATTAACATGAATCGATTAAAGTGAAAATTATTAACTGCTCAAATCGGTGCAGGAATATTGGGTTGGTACGAGTCCCCTACAAACATCCTTGGGCCAGTGATTTGAGTTCCACATTTCTATGACAGGGACAGGTCTATCCGTTGGACAACCACTGTAGAATTCCCCACAAAGCAGTACTCTATCAACCTCGAGCGGCTCAAAGTCAATCCCCAACCAGGATCTGAACTCTCGTCATGATAAGTTTGCTCTCCCACAGACATGTGGGCGGTTAATCAGTGTGCAGATCGATGGCCATCGTGATTATGAAACAACGATGACGCTCGAGTCCACCCGCTGGGAGCCCGCTCGCATCGCGTGCGTTCACGTCTTAATCCGCACGCGTGACCTGGCCGGGTTCAGCCCACGACAACCGCACAGGGCGATACCAAAATTAACACGACGACGATGACGACGATGTTGATGATGACGGGCACGGGTGGTGTTTCAAGGCCCCCCCCCCACTACCACCACCCCCCCCCCCCCCCGGTCACCCGCTAACAGCGGCCCCGGCTTGTCCAGCCGTGCCGACTTTCATCGGAAGGGCAGCGCCCGTGCTCGAGCCGTCACGGCGGAATGCGCGTGTGTGTGACGAGGTCTCGTTACCGGCACCGCGCTAAATAAAGACGCGGAGACACTGACCCCTGCCACCGACTCACAGCCCCGGCTCCCACCACAACCCCATCGTCATCACCGGCAGACACGCTCGATCCACTGCTGGATGAATGTCTCCTCCCCCAGCCACCCACCCCACCCCGCCCCCCCGAGGGTCTCAGCATCTGCGAAGGAGTAATCCACCCAGCCACCTGCACGCGAGGGGCTTTGATCGCTCCATCTCCGCGGTGGGCGTACCTCTGAAGACGCGTTTCATCCCCCCCGACACCCCCACCGTGTTTTGTCTACCTGCACGACTACAACCCGTCTGTCGACCCACTGCAGAGCGAGAGCAGTGGTCGGTGCGAATTGCGGAACGCAACGCAACGCCTGTGCTTTGCTCCGTGGCGGTCAGCCAGCCCGGGACATTGTCCAGGCCGCGCCCTGCTGAGCCTGCGGGCTTGGCGATGCAGCCACCGTCTCTCGTGGCCCACGGCTCCGGGCGAACCTCCGGGCTGTGCTGCGAGAGGCGCCTGGCGCGGTGGGCAGGGTGGGGAGGGCGGCTGAGTGAAGAGAGCGAGTGGAGGGGGCTGAGTGTGCAGTAAGAGGGGGGGGGGGGTGATTGAGTGTGTGAAGGAGGAGGGGGGGCTGAGCGTGTGAAGAGGGGGGCTTTGAGTGTTTAAAAGGGGGGGGGGGCGGGGCTGAGTGCGTGAAATGGGGGGTGTATGAAGAAGGGGGGGCTGAGTGAATGTGCAAAGAGGGTGGGGGGCTTAGTGAGTAAAGAGGAGGGAGGCTGAGTATGAACAGGGGGGGCTCAGTGAGTGTGTGAAGAGGGGGAGCTCAGTGAGTACAGGGGGGGGGCTCAGTGAGTGTGTGAAGAGGGGGAGCTCAGTGAGTGCAGGGGGGGGGCTCAGTGAGTGTGTGAAGAGGGGGGGCTCAGTGAGTGTGTGAAGAGGGGGAGCTCAGTGAGTGCAGGGGGGGGCTCAGTGAGTGTGTGAAGAGGGGGGAGCTCAGTGAGTGTGTGAAGAGGGGAGGGGGGCTCAGTGAGTGCTTGAAGAGGGGAGGGGGCTGAGTGTGTGGGAGCGGAATGCAAAGAATGCGCGCGCCGGTGATGTTTATCGCCACGTGCGCTCGCAAAACGTCACGAGGGAGACAAAGACGGAAGCGAGGACGGGTTGAAGAGGGAGGTGGTGAGGGGTATCGCTAAGCCCGTGCAAAGACAAAGATCCCCCGTATAGCCTGAACAGACGGTAGGGCAAGTGCTGCTAGCGAGCAGCACCTATGAAGGCCGGCACTGTGGCACACGAGGGGGTGGGTGGCCAGCACCACGCCCGGTCGCCTTTGTCTCCCTAGTGGCGATGTTTACGCACCGCACCAGGTCCTAATTTGAGGCCGAGTCGATCTAGGGGGTGCCCAGGACCGGTTCAGACAATCGTCACCGGTGTTGGCCGTGAGCGGGACTTGAACTCGGCTCGCCGGGTTCGTAGCGCATCGTAGCGCTAACCGCTACACCACCACCACCACGACAAAGCCCGTACACGCACACACGCGCAAGCCATACAGCTGGGTGTGTCGCACCCTCACCCTCCCCATGCACCTTCCTTCGTTCCCTGCTGCAGAGCAATTCCCGCTGCTTCACTGTGGGACCGATATTTTATGACACCATCCACTAACTACACTCGGGAACCTGGATGAATCACAGGCAGGGTTTTGGTTTTCCCAGGATCGTCGTCTTGTCCATGAAGCTTGTCCTGGGAAATCCGCAAGTCTTCCCGAGTCGCTAAACATTAAAAGTGCCTGTTTTCTGAGTGTCATAATAATAATAGGGCACCACTCAAGGAAATGAAGGCATTGCCACGTGGTTCTCCCTTCCACAACGACTGGGAGACGTTCTTTCCACGATGGGTCCCTGGTTTCTGTTATCTGAAAGAGGTGGCAACTCAAATCCCAGAACGGATGCCTGAATTCGTACACCTGGGGTCTCAGCAGCTCGCTCAGTGGCCTCCACCCTCCGAACCACCGTCGGTCGTCCGCCTCGAGACCTCTACGCGGACGACGCCGACGGCGGGGAGCCCCCGGGACTTTGCGAAGTCGCGGTTCCATCCGGGGAGCAAAGGTAGCGGGCGCGTTGGCGGTGGCGCTACGGTTCCGAGCGCGGCGTGTGAATGAGTAACAGGGCAGCGAGGTGTTACCGGGTTTATAAATAGCCGAGTTCCGTTGGTAATAGGGCCCGCGTGTTCCAGCGTCAGGACGGCGGCTTGTGCTGCCGCGACTAATAACGTGGCGGTGTTCCACTCGCCGAGCCGCCACGGAACATCAAACGGCACACGCGGCCGGTCTGCTCCTCCGGCACTCGTGGTGGACAACCGGGAACATCCCACAACTACCTCCACGTGAACGCCGAGAGACAACCGCTGAACATGTACACGCGCACACAGGTGGACGCTGACGAGCGAGCGCCCCCCCCAAACCCCCCACGGTATGGAAGAAGACACCCAGGCGCAGGGCTGAGCGGCAGCGCTGATGGATGAGACGCTTCGAGTACAAAATTCTAACGTTTATTCAAAATACAAGAATTTTTTATTCATCCTAATTATATTAATTTGATTCTCTTTAAATTAAAATACCTCCACCACCACACACTCGACTCGGTACCAACAACACCTTTAATTTAGCGCGACAACCTCGTCTGGGTGCACTATAATTTAAACAAACTGCCGCGGTGTCCACGCAAAATAAAAATATTAAAAACGACGCCCGCTGAAGCGCCTGTTCTCCAGATGCGCTCGGAGAGCGGAGCCACGTGAGGCTCGACAGCAAGTGCAGCATGTGCAGCTTGTGCAGCATGTACAGCTGGTGCAGCATGTACAGCATGTGCAGCCTGTGCAGCATGTACAGCCAGTGCAGCAGGTGTAGCATGTGCAGCTTGTGCAGCGCGTGCAGCGTGTGCAGCTTGTGCAGCAGGTGCAGCAAGCGCAGCAGGTGAGGGACCCTGCCGTCTCACACTTCGTTCCCAGATTCACGGCAGGAAGTCAACCGCGGGACAATTAACTCGGTCAACAGCCGGAGGGAGGCGATCGGGTGAGCCTCCGTCCAGAAGCACGGACGGGGCGGCGTCCCGGGTGGCAGCAGGCGGGGCGTCGTTTCTTTCCGCTTTCTCCATTTTTGCCGGCGGTCCAGAGACCGAGGCGGTGACGGAGCCGAGCGGTAGCGCGTTCGCCGTTCGCCAGAAGAGGTTTGCACCTTCGAAGCCGGCGGCCAAAAGTGTGGGCCACGCGTGCTGCCGCCACGCCACAAATGTGATCAACTACTCGCAAATTACTGAATCCCTATTCACACACAGCAACATCGCCCCCCACTGGCAGGCTGACCGCCCACTTGCAGGCCGGTGCCGCGTTCATCTTGTGCCGCACAGGGACAGCTGCCACCGGGGATCCCTCGCGGTTCGACTGAAGCGCACAGGAGGAGGCACCGGTATAAGATTGAGCGGCGACAGTGACGACGACGGCCACGGCCACGCAGCCGACCTGCGCCGGGGTCACGGCGAGACGGCGTCGTTCACGGCGACGCGCTACTGCCGCCCGCCGGCTCCCTCCGCTGCAGGTGGCAGTGGTGGCACAGCAGGCGCCCGCCGAGCGGATAGCACCGTCGCCCCTCCTCGTCGTTCAACTGCATCTTGCAGCTCTGTGGGGGCGGCAGGATGGGAACTCGGCACAGTCGGCTAGCGGCGCTGCCCATGGCGACCGGGGCAGCGCCCACGCTCGTGGTCACAGGCGACCTTTGCTCGCTGCCGCACCGGTGTCAGAGAACTCACATCACCCCACAAATGTTGTTTTCCCATGAAATAATATTCCTGAGTATTCCCGACTGCATCGGTTCCCTTCTGAATGTTCGTGCCCCTAAAGGTATTTTAAACAGGTTACCCATGCAGTCGATATCTATGATTTCAACAAAAACCTTAAAATTAAAGCCCCCTTTCAAACTCGTGAAGGAGGTACCCAGTTTGCAGTGTCGTTTTACTTACTCAGAGCGTCTGGTCGGTCCGAACTTTGTCCGAACAGATGCACTCTTTAAAGGTTTCCTGGGCAGAAACTATCCCAAATTAGTAAACCTAAATCCTAACCCTAAATAAGCCTAACATAAACTAACCCTAACTACCTAACTAACCTTAACACGAATATACTTACCCTAAACATATCCCTAACTGTTGGGAACAAACACTCATTTACCTTGGGGAACAAACACTTATTTACCTTGGGGCACAAACACTCATTTACCTTGGGGTACAAACACTCATTTACCTTGGGGTACAAACACTCATTTACCTTGGGGTACAAACACTCATTTACCTCTCATTTACCTTGGGGAACAAACACTTATTTACCTTGGGGCACAAACACTCATTTACCTTGGGGTACAAACACTCATTTACCTTGGGGGACAAACACTCATTTACCTCTCATTTACCTTGGGGAACAAACACTTATTTACCTTGGGGTACAAACACTCATTTACCTTGGGGAACAAACACTTATTTACCTTGGGGCACAAACACTCATTTACCTTGGGGTACAAACACTCATTTACCTTGGGGTATAAACACTCATTTACCTTGGGGTACAAACACTCATTTACCTCTCATTTACCTTGGGGAACAAACACTCATTTACCTTGGGGTACAAACACTTATTTACCTTGGGGTACAAACACTCATTTACCTTGGGGTACAAACACTCATTTACCTTGGGGTACAAACACTCATTTACCTTGGGGTATTAACACTCATTTACATTGGGATACAAACGCTCATTTACCTCTCATTTACCTTGGGGAACAAACACTCATTTACGTTGGGGTACAGCTGTCCACTGGACAGCTGTTTCCTGGGGGGGATCAAATCAGCCTCGGGGAACCACGTTTGGTGCACAGGGGCAGCCCCGGTCTGGTCGTGGCAGTGGTGCCGACGGTGGTGGCGGTGGTGGTGGCGGTGGTGAATGGTGATGGTGGTGGTTATGCGTTACCTCGCAGTGGTAGCACTCCACGTGGTAGTCTCTGTCCATGGACACCACACGGATCACCTCCTCCGAACCCTGCACCACCGAGAAACAACCGCACCGAGCCACAACCTGACCGTGACACAACCGCACCGAGCCACAACCTGACCGTGACACAACCGCACCGTGACACAACCGCACCGAGCCACAACCTGACCGTGACACAACCGCACCGAGCCACAACCTGACCGTGACACAACCTGACCGTGACACAACCGCACCGAGCCACAACCTGACCGTGACACAACCGCACCGTGACACAACCTGACCGTGACACAACCGCACCGTGACACAACCGCACCGTGACACAACCTGACCGTGACACAACCTGACCGTGACACAACCGCACCGAGCCACAACCTGACCGTGACACAACCGCACCGTGACACAACCTGACCGTGACACAACCGCACCGAGCCACAACCTGACCGTGACACAACCTGACCGTGACACAACCTGACCGTGACACAACCGCACCGTGACACAACCTGACCGTGACACAACCGCACCGTGACACAACCGCACCGTGACACAACCTGACCGTGACACAACCTGACCGTGACACAACCGCACCGAGCCACAACCTGACCGTGACACAACCGCACCATGACACAACCTGACCGTGACACAACCGCACCGAGCCACAACCTGACCGTGACACAACCTGACCGTGACACAACCGCACCGTGACACAACCATGTGGAGGTTGGCGAGTCAGCCAGTGGACAGCTTCAGTGGTCTATGTGGTCCATGGTTTCAGACTTACGACTCACATAGTGACCCACAGCCTCACAGAGACCCATAGACTCACATAGAGACCTACAGTCTCATTTAGACACCCATAGCCTCACATGATGATCCATAGCTTCACTCGGACTGTGCGGTGCACGGCTTTAGATCAGCGATCGCAGTCGCACTCTGGGGTCATCCTCCATCGTCCATCGATGCAGGAGGAGACGGCCGCGAATTACTGAACAAGTTAACGAGCACTCTGCCCCTGTGAACGCGCCCTCTGACCTGGTTAGGGAGGATGGGGAGGCCGCAAGCCGCGCATTTCGGGGCGAACGTCCTGCGCACACACGCACGCGCGCGCACACGCGCACACACACGTACACACACGCGCATACACACGTACACACACACGCACACACACGCGACAAGCACACACGCGAAACACGCAGCAGTGTTGTCACCGCGGTCGCAACTCCGACGTGAATAATCAAACACGCACGCATGCACGCTCATGCGCACACACGCACTCGCGCACGTGCACACGCACGCGCACACGTGCAGCATGTGTCTGTGGCCAGTGATTTGCGTTTTACCTGGATCTGCGCATCAGCAGGCGCCACACAGCCAGAGCCACATGCAAAGAAAACATTGTTAGCCAGTGCTCGGTTAGCCACACAGCGCCAGCCACACCGCCCACAGTGCGAGCCAGCCAGCCCACGGCAGTTAGAACACCCATCCCAGGGTGATAGAACCCCCAGCCCACGGTGTTATAGCACCAAGCCCACGGTGTTAGAACCCCCAGCCCACGGCAGTCAGAACACCCAACTCATTGTGTTAGAACACCCATCCCAGGGTGTTAGAACACCCATCCCAGGGTGTTAGAACACCCAGCTCAATGTGTTAGAACACCCAGTCCACGGCGTTAGAACACCCAGCCCAATGTGTTAGAACACCCAGCCTACGGCGTTAGAACACCCAGTCCACGGTGTTAGAACACCCAGCCTTCGGCGTTAGAACACCCAGTCCACGGCGTTATAACACCCAGCCCAATGTGTTAGAACACCCAGCCTACGGCGTTAGAACACCCAGTCCACGGTGTTAGAACACTACTATTTAGTCACATGCCACCTAATCCCAGTCTTTCAGCGACCCAGAAAATATTCGGTGAGATATTGAGCCCTGGTCGAGCATTCAGTAGTTCTGGTGGTTGTCACTCAACTCCTCTGGCACAGAGGCTGTCGGGCAGGGGCTATGGCAATGCTTGCTAAGCTTTATCAGAGGCCACAGTCTGCCCGTAGGGCCTCTGATTAAGCACAATTAAATAATTTGCAGTGAATTTCCCAAAACGTGACAAAGTTTAGACCGTGACGCCAGAACACAATGGCTTAAAGATAAAAAATTGACGTCGGGGGATCGTTAGCATCTGCTGCACAACATATATCGTCACGTAATTTTTTTCGCTCTCGTAAACACGCCCGGCAGCATTAACCAGGGCGGCCGCCGGCTCGAACCGCCCCGCAGAGACGACGCGAGCGACGGCACAGGCAGGGACCCCTCCCCCCGTGGGGCCCACCGGTGGTAGTCCTGCACACAATAGACCCGGTGGTCGCGGTCGACGGTGAAGGGGACCCCGTCCAGGCACTCGTTGCAGACGACGCAGCGGAAGCACGTCGGGTGGTAGGACTTCCCCACGGCCTGCAGGATCTGACCGCCGGCACGACACGACCCGGCACACCGCATCCAGTATATCTCTCCCTCTGGCTGCCAGTCACATGTTCATTTCTTTACAACTGCTCTTTGTGTTTAGTTTGTTGTCCTTCAAACGGTACCTCCAATGAGCACGGTTGGCTACGCACGGTGCGAAAAAAGTTCAACATACATACCGCCTAGGACTTCAGTCTTGGGAGGACAAATATTCACACCGGGCATGATCGTGAAGAATGCCAGTTTAATGGCGGAGTTGTTTTTATTGCTAGAATTTGCTGTTGGTGTTACTTTAACACGAGATGAAGAATCAATTTGCAATTCCAGCAGAGCAGTGCAACCCCTTCGTATTGGAGATCGGCCCATGGAAGCGGATATCACAGAGGTACCTCCGAGAACCCTTCAAGTGAACTCATAGATTTGGGGGTGGAACTCCCCACTCGCTCTGCATATGAGAGTACTGATATATTTAATTCTCAGTGCTGGAATTTGCTAAAGTTGAATGAGAACCAATCATTGGTGACCGGGCCAAGATCATCAACTGGCTGCACTTGAGAACCCGGTTGAATCAGGGGCAGTGGCTGGAACCCGAACTGGAACCCAGGGTCTCAGCGTCGCCAGCTCCACGTACCTGACCTCTGAGTCACCCGGTAAACCTCGCGGCGTCTCATCACTCTCCAGAGAGCGTTGGCATTCGGACGCTCGCTCCCCTTTTCTCTTCTTCCCTCTGGCGAGGCGCAGGCCGGTACAGTGCTCGTGCCGTGCCCATTGTTCGCGCCAGGCTCAGCCGCCCCACTCAGGTTCTCCACTGTATTCAGCGCAAATTCCTGAGGCTCAACGAGCCATGAAAGAGAGACCCCCTGCCGCCAACTTAAGATGCAGAAATGCGACTGGTTATCTCGGGCGGGGGCGCACGGTTACCGACCCTGCGGAGGGCAGGGTTCACGGCGGGCGTGCCCAGCGGGCCCGAGGGATGTAACGAAGAGGGGGGGGGGGGGGGTACGCGTTGCGATGCTGGCGGCGCGGCGACCACCGGGGACCGAGATTCGTGGCGGGGGGAAGTGGCACCGGCGGGGGCTCCGCCTTGGGACGTGGCACGGAAGGGCGAGGCAGCCCCCGCGATAAACCACGAATCCCCAGGGCAGAGGCGCCCCTGTTTTTCCGAAATAAATAATGAGCATTTGGAAATTCAGAGTGATTTCCTGCTGCTCAAAGGAGCTTTGAGGCGGGGCCCATCTCCTGTTTACATCCTTGAGCCAGTGGTGGAAATTCCACATTCCTATGGCAGGGGCGCGTCTGTCCAAAAGACGACCACAAAGTGATACTTGTTTTATCGACCACGGGAGGATGATGGGCCGAGCCAACACCCACACAGGATTTCAATGGGAAAGTTATGATTGCTCTACCGCTGAGCCACCCACCATCCTCCTCGGGGTTGATAAAATAAGCACCACTTTTTGGAGAAGTCAATAGTGGTTGTCCTGTGGATAGGAATGTAGTATTCCAACCACTGGCTCTGTTGGACGGTAGACAGCAGATGAGCACCAATGGCCCGGCTGTCGTTTGAGCAGCTGGAAACCACTGAGACTTCTGCCCCATGACGGCGTACAAGCCGGGTGCCTCTGCGCCCTCCCGCGTCGTCGTCGTCGTGCCATCGCCACGCCGTCGCACCGCACGGCGCTGGCGAGCCGACGGCTCCGTGCGGAGGACAGAGCGGGCCTCACCGTCTCCATGATCAGGTGGCCGCACTCAAAGCACTTGTCCGCGTTCTGCTGGAAGCCGGAGTACTGCGCGACAAGGAGTGGGGAGGGGGGAAGAAAACACTCGCAGCGTCAGGGTCGGGCCGCGTGTCGAGCATCGCCTCTCCTGTAGGAGGAAGACCGGTGGATACAAGGAGAGGCTCCCTCGATCCGGCTCCTGAGGATGCCGCAGTAGTGCGTGGCAAAAGCTTGATGGAAGAAATGCTCGACACGCGGCCGAAACCCCGAACATCACGCTCGGTTCGCCGTGCCACGTCACAGAAGCAGACCACTTACAACATTGAGAAACATTCTAGATTTGAAGCTTTCGTGACTGCCAGGATCCATACTCTTTGGTTCTATTCGGTAAAGTCACGTAGGTAAAAAATAAAACAACAAAAATCACTGATTTTTGTTGTTCACTGATTTTTGTTGTTTTATTTTTTACCTACGTGACTTTACCGAATAGAACCAAAGAGTATTGAGAAACATCCCACACGAGAAAGGTCATTCTCCTCTGCTGACCTTCACAATCTGGAAATCCCTTCTGCCAGCCACCTGTGCTAATGAATCCATGCCTCATTTTCACAGAGACTTACGCAGAGACCCATAGATTCACAAAGAGACCCATAGACTCATAAAATGCCCACAAACTCACACAGAGATCTGCATGCTCACCGTTTCTGCACAACACCATTTGGTCACATTTAGACACTACGTACATCCACGTCGCACTGAAGAGGATGTCACCCAAAGACCCACAGCCTGGCACACAGAGACCTACGAACTCCGCTCCCTACAAAACAAATAGCATCGACCACTTGCGCACGGCGTCCAGAGACGCGGTCACACACGGACACCGTTTACAAAGTCCACGCTGCACCGTAACATGCATACATACGTAACGCGCGTTTCCTAACTCGCTCCACTTAGCCGCCCCAGTCCACCCGGCACTCACCATCGCAGTTTAGCAGTGACCGTGTGCTACCCAACACCAGCGGGTCCACGACTCCTACCCCATCGCAATCCCCACCACCCTGGGCCCCCTACCCCCCCTCTCCCGCCCGCATGGCGGTGCGCATGAGAAGCTAATTTAGCGCTTGTCTGCTTTCCAGAAACGGCAGCGGGGTAAACAGGAGCCCGGCGTGGGGAGCTGTGCGCTGCTGGCACGGTGTTTGCGCATAGCGGCGCTGGCTGTTGACAGCTGCCATCCGACATGGTCGAAGCAACGTGTTATCGTATTAATCTATTTATGCCATGTTTATATTTCTCGATAGGGCACGATAACCCCGTCTCTCAAGCCGCGATCGTCGCGCCGCCGCGCCACGGGATTCGGAAAGACTTCTGAAAATGTTGCCGCGTTGCCGTTGTACCGTTATGTATTGTCCGGATTTATAAGATGCCCCGTAAAGTGAGACGTACCCCAAAGTTCTTCTGGACAACAACGACAGCCGCCATTCGCCACTAAGTGGCGGTGACATCACCACAGCACTTGTGCCAGGCTAGGTGCACGTGAGGTGCGGAAGGCTCTCGCTGCTGGCAGGAGGTCGCGGGACAGACCCAGGTGTATGGGTAAAAAATTGCTGAAAGGTGCACCACCTGTGATTCCCACGTGCCAACTGGCACAAATCTGGAGACTCACTTACCGCACGCAAAGAAGCACCCCCAACCCTTGTGAGAGAAAGTGCGCCCCATAAGCGGGAGAATGCGGTGGGCATGCCCGCACGTGGTACTCACCAGATAGTCCTCTTCGCAGTAGACCCTCCCGTTGACGTTGTAGAAGGCCTTCCCGCGCAGGCGTCTGCCTAGAAGTCGAACGTGACAACAAACGGCGTCACAAGGATGCGCGCCCGGCCGGGTGGTGCAGCGTGGGAGCGAGCGGCTTGCAATCAGAAGGGCGCGAGTTCGATTCCTGGTTGAGGGTTGACTCAACCTGTCATTTATCTGGGGTCGATAAAATCAGTACCACTTTGTTGGGAAGTCAACTGTGCTTGTCCTATGTATAAACTGACCCATGCCATACGAATGTGGAATTTTCACCACTGGTTCCGCAGGGCTGTAAATGGGAGATGAGCATCAAATGCCGCAATGATCATTTGTGCGGCAGGAGACCGCTGTGACTTTGAATTTGGCAGGGGCAGAGCAATTTCAGGGTCTTTGGCTGATTGCAGTCGGTGGCACTCGACTAAACAGCCCCGGCCACAGCGAGGGGTATGGTGGACGCGGTGTGAGTGTTGGGTGCGGAAACGTATTTGGAGTTACCGACCCGGACCGACCAGGCTGCAGTTCGTCCCCACAATCGGGTGATAAAATAAACGCTCAACAATCCAGGGAGAACGCGAGCTGCTGCATAATCGATAACAAACAACGGAGAAGCAACTCCCAGCGCGCAATACGCGGCACGACCCGCAAACACCGCGGGGAGCGCCCACACTCGTCGACGTTGGGTAATCGTTGCCCTTTCCCCAAACGCAAATCCCCAAATCACTTTCTCGCAGCCGCCACGCTGCGCGACTCGCACCCCGCACCCCGCCACAACGCCGGTCCTTATTTGCCCCAAGGTTGCCGCTGGGCTTCTTTTCCGGAGGCTCGTATTAAGTTGAACATTTGTTAGGCATGACACCGGCTCCCCGCTGACAACCCGGGGGCCCGGGTCTCACATTCCGCAAAGTCCCGAGTCCCCAGCGAGGCCCCCCGTGTCGCCGCGGCCCAACCCCCCGCAGGCCCGGCACCTGCGTGGTGGCGGGCGCCCTCCGCGGCGAGCCACACGGTCACACGCGCACCCCCACCCACCACGATCGCGTGCCCCCCTCCCCCCCGCACAAAACCTCACGTCTCACGCAATCACAGAATCGTCTTCCTGTGGCGGTGGGGGGGGGGGGTGCCACGGATTGGGATGAGCAGGGCCTCATTTTCTGTCAAGTCTGTTTGGGTCGGCGAGCCAAAATGTTTTTGCACGCCTGGCACACCTCATCCAGGATCATCGTTCTTGCCAGACCAACTGTTTTAAGCGTTGATGTTTGACGATACTGCGTTGTTAGCGTTGTAGAAGCACAAATGACAAAAAAATCTAAACATTCGTGAAAAACACTGCCATAAAAAGATATACTTAATATGGAGAAGGGCCATTGTCTGGAACGTTGCCGATTGATTGTTTACTCTCAGGGCAGAGCTTGTTGACCACCACCCACAGAGCAAGCGTAATCTCAGCCTGGTGCGGAGCTGCATTCTGGACATGCAGGTGGTGATATCCATTGTTGTACTGTGCTTTTATGTACCCATATATGTATGTATGTTGAACTTATTTTGCATGGTACATAGCCAACCATGCTCCCTTCCTTTACCAAACCCACACTTGCCAGAGTGATGAAGTATGGTTAATTGTGTGCGTTGGACGACTCACCGCAGGAGCAGCACGTGAAGCAGTGCGTGTGGTAGTAACAGCCCATGGCCTGGCAGGCCTGGCCCATCCCGTACACACCCTCGTTGCACTTCACGCACATACCTTCACGCACGCACACATACACACACATACACACAACGAAAACAGAGGGGGGCATTCATATTACAATTCTCATCGTCGTCGTCAGCCATGATCTATCCACTGTTGGCAGGTCTCCCTAAGCCGTGGCCATCGCAATCCTGTGATGCTGTTGTTGAACTTCTTTCGCACCGTAAGTAGCCTACCGTGGTGCATTTTGAGTGGCATGAAGCAACACCAAGACGTGGCGTTTAACAAACCAAAAGGAAGATCACAAAACACGGACGCAGGGCTAGTTCGTGGCTTCAATCGAGAATTGCATCGGTGTCCTGGAGGAACGTGATAACCCACGAGCAGGATTAACTGGATGAGAAAAAGTTAACAATTAATCCGTGTGGGAAGATGGAACAAGAACAACTCTCCCTGCGGGGGATTGCAAAGTGGGCCAATGAGGGCTCAACGTCAGCGGGGTCTGTAACGTGTCAGCCACACGAAAAGTAATGCCTGTACCCAGCACACCACATCCAGTATACCTCCCCCTATGACTGCGGCTACTACTAGCCAGGTGCCACCTACTCCAGCGGACCAGAGACCTGAACAATATTCAGGGACCACAATAAGAATTTCAAGAACAGAACTCAAGTGATAATTGCATTCAAAATCTGGCCTGGCTAAAGATACAGCTGATGAGACATTGGCAGCAACATTGTCTGTGTTTCTCAAAGTAAGGAGCATGTTTGTAATTGTGCATGGCATTGAACTGAGAGCCAGGTTGAAAATTATACTGTTAGTGAGCACCTATTAGGGCCGACACATTACACAATGGTGTGGTGTGGCATCACACCCAGCCGCACATCTCCCCGGTACTGATGTTTAAAGACGGAGTTGAGCTGATTGAGCCCCAGGACCGGTTCAGCCGGACATCACTTCCCACTGATGTTACCAATGGCTGGATTTTAACTCAGGTAAACACAATGAGCTAACGACACAGATGTGATTAAACCATTGCGTGGCTTGATCCAAAGATGAAATATGAATCAAGCCCCTAATATTATCAACCCACTGCTGGATGAGAGCCTCCCCACGCCGTGGGGGTCCTGGTTAAATGTGGACCAAATAGCCACGGCAACATGGATGTTTGTGACCGCTCGACATTGAGGCACCGTGGCCCGAGCGAGCACGTACATTGACGACCCCACAGAAGGACCCTCCCGGGTTCGACTCGCTCCGTGCTGGGCCACATCAGAACACGGCACGGCTGATGCGACTGTGGACTGCATGGTAACGACCACTTTCCGCAATACTGAAGTTTAAAGTTTCATTGCGATTAGGGACTGATCCCAGAGAAATCCAGACTAAAATGACAAAAGGGTTGCCCGTGTCCTACCCGGCCCGTCGCTATCCCATCCCCGTTGTCTCATCGCGGCCTCCAGGAGCACCGCCTCATGCCTGCCTGGCGTGGGCGCCACCCCTAAGTACGCCGACTTTCGAGAGAAAATGCACGTTGGAACGCGTTAGCGAATCCACGCGTGTGCATTATTTTTGTTCCTTGTGCAAATGTCATGTTCCTGTGTACTCTCCACTCACCGTAGTACTCATCGGGCTTCTTGGAGTCCAGTTCACTCTCGATCTGCTGGGCCATGGCCTCAAGTCGCTCCTCGGTGCTGCTGCTGAAGTCCTGCTTGTTCTGCACGGGGATGGTGAACTTCGCGGACCTGTGGCCGTGAGGAGGTGCCGTAGGGCCCACTGGCTCTGTGGCCCTCTGGAGGCCCCACTTATGAGGCAGAGGTGGCGGTGCAGGGCACGGCGGTGGATGGACCTGCTGACCATCGTTCAATCTCCTCTGGTGGCCCTCACTCATTCCCACCTGGACCTCACTCGACACACCGTGGTGTCCCTCACTTAACTTTCCTTGGTGGACATCGTTCAACTTGTCCTGGTGTCCCTCACTAAATCTCACCTGGTGGACCTCCTTTAATCTACCCTGATTGACCTCACTGGATCTCCCATGGTATCCCTCACTCGATCTCCCTTCATGTCCTTCAATAAATCTCACCTGGTGGGCCTCATTCAATCTACCCTGGCTGAGATCACTCAATGTACCTTGGTGTCCCTGGTTGGCCGCACTCAATCTCCCTTCATGTCCTTCAATAAATCTCACATGGTGGACCTGACCCATTTGCCCCTGGTGTCCCTCACTCAACCTGCCCTGGTGTCCCTCGCGCAATGAACCTTGGTGGTGGTTCTCGCTCAAGACCACAGCCCCATCCACCGGTGCGGTCTGGAGCCTCTCCTTGCTCCTGAAGAAACTCTCCTCAGAAGCCGAGATCGCCTCGGGGTGGCGTTGCTGCTGGGCCCAGGCCGGACGCCCCATCTCCCTGGAGGCCTCGCTCCTGACCGGAGCCACGGGCCCTCCAGAGCCGTGGACCTCAGAGCTCCAGTCGGCAGGAAGGCGACGCGGTACGGCTCCTGGCTGGGCAGCCGCTGCTGGTGATGATGGTGGTGACACCGCCGCTGCTGCTGATGAAGAGGGCGATGATGGTGGCAACATTGATATCCCGTCGGGCTGGAGGCTCAGGCGGCCCGAGAAGCGCTGCCTGGCCTCCTCGAAGCCCGCGCTCGGCGCGTCGGCCTTGCCCACCCTGAACAAGCCATGGCTGGACGCCTCGTACAGGTCCAGGTCCTGCAGGAAGCGGCTCGCCTCCATCTCCAGCTCGTCGCCCTGATGATGCATGGTCCACCTCACTGCTGGTCCACCTCCTCCTGCTCGTCTCCTGACTTACTCTTGGTCTTCCTCCTTTTCCAATCCCCTCCTCCTCCTCCTCGCCCTCGTCTCCCGCACCACTCCTGATTAAACCTCGTCTTGCTCCTCGCCCTCTCTCCACTTCTATCCTCTTCCTCGTCCGCTTTCTCTTCTCCCTCTTTACTCTTTGACTTTAGTCCCAGCCCGCTGTGTCCTGCTCCTCTAATCTCCTTCCTCCTCCTCCTTTTCACACCTCCTCCGCGAGGGAGCCACGCGCTCAGCAGTAGCGGCAGCACTCACACTCCTGGGAGTGGGGGGGGCGTTTGTTCCGTGTGTCAGTGTCTGTCAGTGTGTCCGCCTGTGTATGTCAGTGTGTCCCCGCCTGTCTGTCAGTGTGTCCGCCTGTGTGTCTGTCAGTGTGTCTGTCAGTGTGTCCGCCTGTGTCTGTCAGTGTGTCCCCGCCTGTGTCTGTCAGTGTGTCCGCCTGTGTCTGTCAGTGTGTCCCCGCCTGTGTCTGTCAGTGTGTCCGCCTGTGTGTCTGTCAGTGTGTCCGCCTGTGTCTGTCAGTGTGTCTGTCAGTGTGTCCGCCTGTGTCTGTCAGTGTGTCCCCGCCTGTGTGTCTGTCAGTGTGTCCCCGCCTGTGTCTGTCAGTGTGTCCCCGCCTGTGTGTCTGTCAGTGTGTCTGTCAGTGTGTCCGCCTGTGTGTATGTCAGTGTGTCCGCCTGTGTCCCCGCCTGTGTCTGTCAGTGTGTCCCCGCCTGTGTCTGTCAGTGTTTCCGCCTGTGTGTCTGTCAGTGTGTCCGCCTGTGTCCCCGCCTGTGTGTCTGTCAGTGTGTCCGCCTGTGTGTCTGTCAGTGTGTCCGCCTGTGTCCCCGCCTGTGTGTCTGTCAGTGTGTCCGCCTGTGTCCCCACCTGTGTGTCTGTCAGTGTGTCCGCCTGTGTGTCCCCGTCAGTGTCCCCGCCTGTGTCCCCGCCTGTGTGTCTGTCTGTCTGTGCGTCTACCAGTCAGTGTGTTTGTCCGTGTGTCTTTGACCGAGTCTGTCTGTGTGAGTCTGTGTCTGCTGTATCGTGTCCGCGCGCACTGGGGGTGCGTGTGGGGTCGCTGCCTATCCCCCTCACTCCAAGCACCCTGGAGACCCCTGAACACACCAAGCCGCCGCCCCCCTACAGACGAACCCCCCTGACGACCGGAGGGACCCCGACACCCACCTCGCCACTCTGGGACACGGAGCGGGCCGTAAACCGCAGGGGCAGCCACTGGTGCAGCAGTCACGGACAAACTCACCGCGGCCGTCAACAACACTGCGTGTGTGGCCCTGAAAGGGGGGATCCCCACAATAGATGACGTTCCGGGCAATGACCCTTCTTCATAGCACGGGAATGTCACGGCTGGAGTCGGCTGGGGAGCTCCTCCTGGGCGAGGACGCGGGCCCGGTGGCGGAGTCCGCCGGGAGCGCCTCAGCGGCGCTGCCCGCGGCCTCTGAGACGGAGGAAGGCGGCACGAGGAGGAGTCCAGCAGCAGGGAGGACTCACCACGCTCATCCTCACCACGCTCATCCTCACCACGCTCATCCTCACCACGCTCACCCTCACCACGCTCACCCTCACCACGCCCACACTCACCCGCTCATCCTCACCACGCTCATCCTCACCACGCTCACACTCACCCGCTCATCCTCACCACGCTCACCCTCACCACGCTCACCCTCACCACGCCCACACTCACCCGCTCATCCTCACCACGCTCATCCTCACCACGCCCTTACTCACCACGCTCATCCTCACCACGCCCACACTCACCCGCTCATCCTCACCACGCCCACACTCACCCGCTCATCCTCACCACGCCCACACTCACCCGCTCATCCTCACCACGCCCACACTCACCCGCTCATCCTCACCACGCGCATCCTCACCACGCCCACACTCACCCGCTCTCACGTCTGCTCGGGGTAAAGACTCGGCCACGACCACTCACAAGAGGCTCGAGAGAGGCGCCGCTGCTGCTGCCGCTGCCGCTGCAAGTTGTGAGTGAGTGGCGCAGGTTGCTCTCGTCCTTACAGACGACTCGTGCCGACTGTGACGCCTCAGCCACCACCAAGCACCGCTACTACCACGGACGTGAAAGAGCGAACGGCCCGCAGAGTTAGTGGCCGCGTCTCCTCCTCCCTGGACCAGAACCGATCCCTCGCTCGCTCGAGGAGACCTCTCCGGGAGCGGGGTGGGGAGGGTGCGGAGTTGGTGGGGGGAGTGGGAGGAGGGTGGGGAGGGGGGAGGTGACACTGACCCTCACCCTGACCCTCACCCTGACCATAACACAAGGGCAGGGTTAGCACCAGGGTTGTTGTTAGACTCGGGGGCAGGCAAGTGGTGATGGTGCTGGTGGTCTGAGCGGCGTTTATGCCGCTTGTCAGTCGGCTTTTTCACGGCGTCCGCGTGTCTGTGTGGTGGTGTGAGCGTGAGTGGTGTGTGTCCGTGTGTTGGTGTGAGCGTGAGTGGGGTGTGTCTGTGTGGTGGTATGAGCGTGAGTGGTGTGTGTCTGTGTGTTGGTGTGAGCGTGAGTAGTGTGTGTCTGTGTGTTGGTGTGAGCGTGCGAGTGGTGTGTGTCTGTGTTGGTGTGAGCGTGAGTGGTGTGTGTCTGTGTGTTGGTGTGAGCGTGAGAGTGGTGTGTGTCTGTGTGTTGGTGTGAGAGTGATGTGTGTCTGTGTTGGTGTGAGCGTGAGTGGTGTGTCTGTGTGTTGGTGTGAGCGTGAGAGTGGTGTGTCTGTGTATCTGTGTGAGCGTGCGAGTGGTGTGTCTGTGTTGGTGTGGTGGTGTGAGCGTGAGTGGTGTGTGTCTGTGTGTTGGTGTGAGCGTGCGAGTGGTGTGTGTGTGTGGTGGTTTGTGTCTGTGTGGTGGTGTGAGCGTGAGTGGTGTGTGTCTGTGTGGTGGTGTGTCTGTGTTGGTGTGAGCGTGAGAGTGGTGTGTGTCCGTGTGTTGGTGTGAGCGTGCGAGTGGTGGTGTCTGTGTGTTGGTGTGAGCGTGTGAGTGGTGTGTCTGTGTATTGGTGTGAGCGTGAGAGTGGGTGTGTCTGTGTGTTGGTGTGAGCGTGAGAGTGGGTGTGTCTGTGTGTTGGTGTGAGCGTGAGTGGTGTGTCTGTGTGGTGGTGTGAGCGTGAGTGGTGTCTGTGTTGGTGTGAGCGTGTGAGTGGTGTGTCTGTGTGTTGGTGTGAGCGTGAGTGGTGTGTGTCTGTGTGTTGGTGTGAGCGTGCGAGTGGCGAGTGTCGTGTTGACTCAGACCCTCCAGGAAGACCTCTCAGCTGCCCCTGAGCTTTCCACCGACGCAGGGCACGCTGCGCCAACCCCAACTTCAGCGACATCGCCTCTCTCTCATCTCAAGGACCACAAACCATCAATCACGCCAACTCCGTGGGTCATCCTCGAAGAAGCAGCAGCAGCGGCGGCTTTTGGCTCAGCCATCGGACAAAGACGGCCACTGCATCGCGCGGCGCTTTCAGGTGCGATTCCGCGGCCGTCTGGAACGCTCTTGCGATATTTGGAAGCCACTGGAGCAAAGCGTCTCCGATTAGCACGGTTGGCTACGTACGGCGCGGAAGAAGTTCAACTTAATAATGTACTGTCTCACGGGCAACACTCGCCGTCAAAACGACCTGGAGACAGCGGTGTGAAATTCCACATTTCCACGGCGGGAGCAAGTCTCTCCAAAACCACCCTTGCTGTCAGTCGCTATAACCTCACTTCCACTCACCAAAATAGGCCAATGGGTTCATTCACAAGAGCGACCTGACCCCAAGAGCTTAGGCAGAAGTGACGAATTAAACTAAACTATAACCGGAATGCCATCGCTGTGCATGTGGTCTTTGTTACCGTCACTGGAAAGTCACTTTCACTTGCTCTACGACACCCCCACCCCCCGCTCCTGTTTGGTGATCACCTGTTACGCATTCTAATGGGTCACTCGCGCAGACCATCGCCATCACACGAGAACGTGGACTGGCAGGGTCAGGACACAGATTGATTGTATCGAGCAGCCTTGGTGTATGGGGAGCGGTGGCGCAGTGGTTAGCGCACTGCAATACACAATCTGGCGACCAGTTCGATTCCCGCCTACGGCCAACACCAGTGAATGATCCAGCGCCTCCCCTAGGTCGACTCCGCCTTAAAACGAGTACATGAGGTGCGCTGTGCGTACATCATCACTGTGGGGACAAAGGCGGCCGGGCGTGTCCCGTGCCAGCCATCATTGGTGATCGCTTAGAGCAACTTTGTCTTGTTTTTAAAGTATGAGTTTATTTTTATGGATATGTTGATACAATTATGTACATGTGTAACTACTGTATTCGTGCAGGCGAGTGTAGTTATGGTAAATGTATGTACAGTATAAGTACTGTATACGTTTGTAAGTGCACTTTCGTGTGAACCCATTAAACCCGCGAACGTTGAGCCAACGTTGGCGGTGTTGTTGGAACTGTTGGTTCAACGTTACATGTTTGGGTACAGAGTCCAATACCACCACCGTCAGGAATGCGTCATAATAAACATCCATGACTTATCCACTGCTGGATGACTCACGTGACCAGACACAAACATCCCGCCGACTCGGAGCACAGTGGCTTACTGAACCCTACAACCGAGGTGGTCATTTTTTTAAATTGAAACTTTCGTTGAATGAAGTGCAGCTAAATCCATTGTTGTACTTAGAAGTGCAGTAACTTCGGCACGCAGTGACCGGCGTGGAGTCTGGTCACACAAACCCCCACACCGTGGGCAGGGCCCTCGTCCAGCAGTGGACTCGCCGTGGCTGGTGATGGTAACCGGCTGATTTGGACGTCCCCCTTGTCGTCGTGATTAACGCAGTTGCTGCTCTTTCTCCCGCGTCAAAGGAGCGCGGACCACAGCAGCAACACCGCCCCATACCCCGGGGCAACTTGGTAGAGTCCCTCCTGAAGAGAAGAAACATTCTCGAGACTCGGCGAGGCTTTCCTGGGTAAACAAAGCAGAGTCATCGTTGTCGGAGACGCGCGTCTCACCGACGGGATTAGGTGAATTGAAAAATCGATTCCAGCATTCCACGAGACTCGACAGAATCGATTCCGTCAAACCGCCCCGCCCACTTCGTTGAACGCTTCGAACGCGATTAGCCAATCGCGTGGGAGGGGCGGGGGCCTTAAGCTGGCGCTCGGGCCAATCGCGCGCGCGGCGCGGGGCGCTTTAACGGGTCTCGGCGCACTCGCACCACGTGCACAGGTGGCACGTGGTCCTTCACGGCGGGGGCTTCACGTGAGAGGCCATCCACCGCGTCAGACAACATCGTCGGCAGGAACCATACGCACGTCTAATTCATAAATGCAAAAAAAACAAGAGACAATCCGCAGTAGAACTAGTGGCCATGCAACCTAAACTATGTACTAACGTAAACCCAGAGACGCAGAGAGATGAGACCCGGAGTCTGTGGTACACGCCTAGAGGCACATTAAAGACAAGCCCACAGTGCCATTGTGGTCACGCAACCCAAACTATGTCCCATCGTAGTACTCTGCGCTCCTTCAACGGAGGAGGAACAACAGCAACTCTTGAAGCCCCCTCGACGTGGCCAGCAGACGTCACAATTGGCATAACCAGGTGCGAACTTAAGGGCATTCGTCCGCCAGTTGGGGGTGATAATTTCAACGCAGAGTTCCAAGTGAGCGCGAGTTTTGTGGGGCAGATTTACGCCCTGACGTCGGTACACAATGGCTTATGCTTGTGAACGGCGTCAGGGCATCTTTAATGTCCGTCGTGAGTGAAGCAGGCGGTGCTAAGTATTATTGTGGTTATTCCGCCGCAGCAATCACCAGGGCGGCCGCTGGAATTCGAACCGTGAACCTCTGCAACAAGCGGCGAGCCGCGCTACCGCAAGTCCGCGTCACTGCTAATTGCAACTTTGATGGTGCTGTTTGTTGATGCCACTCGGCGTTTTGGACCTCTTATCCACTGTGTTAAAGGAAATACACGCGCAGAAGCCCTTAATTGTTTAATCTCCTGCAAGTCTGAGCAAGCCCGAGTCGAGCGAGGCAGGGGCAGTGGCGTGAAAGTCGCGGGAAAGCGAGCGAGCTGCCAACTTCCACAGCGTTCTCTGCCGGGCTCTCGGTTGTCATTCGCCGGTGCTCGTTGCAGCTTCCTGAACAACACGTTGAGAGGCGAATCCTCGTAGCAGTTAATACCTCAGTGGCCTTTGCCTGGTACGATGGGGATGGTTTAGTTTTATTTGAATGTGTTCGAGTGATTTGTTTTTTTGTAGTTTGTTGTAACGTTCTTACCCGCCCCTACTGGACATATGTGAAACGGAGCTTTATAGCTCATCGGATTCCTCCAGTATAAATATTCTGAGTTAAAAGTGTCGTGCCATACTTACCGCATACCGCCCGCCCCCCATGCCCCCCAAGCGCCATCACATCAGCTTGTGCTGAATTATCACACAACGTGATCTGCAAAGCGACGATACACGGGCGGTGATGATGTGCGGGAGTGTTGAGCACAACGCGACACAGTTGACGGCGAGCACCAGTGGCGTAGCTGCCGGGTGTGCAGGCGGTACAAGTGCACTGGGGCCCACGGGCCACAAGGGTTCAGGTGCCAGGTTACTAAGGGGGAGGAGGAGGGAGGGGGTATCGGACAGCCATGCTAGGCTACTGCATGCCAGTTGGTGTCAAATGCAACGCGTCAAAGACGAACACAGCTTCAGCGCCAGGTTCTTTCTTGCTACCACCGACATGCGACATCCAAACTCAAACCGCGGCGCTGAGTTCGCAACCCTTACGTCCATAATCCCCGAGACCACGACACCAAAGCCTCGAGCGAGGCCTCATCACCCAACCCCCATTATGATTTGGCAAGAGCATTTTAAATAGCTTGATGCTAATGCAAGCCGTAATTATACGGGCGTCTCGTCCAGATTGCGTCAACTCTCCCGGCACGGCTAACGGGGGAGGAATCCGCATTCCGCCTCGGCTGCTCTGTCTGCCCTCCCATGCTCCCGTGTAGGTTTTGGGGTCTTCGCGAGGACTCGGGCCGTCTTGTCGGATCGCAGAATTTCCACTGTGGGAAGACAGAGCTCGTTCTCCTTCCTCCCGGACTGGGTTCACAACGGGGAGGGGGGGGGGGTCCTTGAGCACGGAGCAGCGGTGCAGCGTTGCTCGTAGGTTGCTGAAGTTGACACAATTTGCTCTAAAAAAATTACGACGAAAAACCCTTCCACTTCATGCTCGTCCCTTTGAGCTGTCATCTCACTCGTCGCCCCGTCTCCCGTTTCTGCTCCTCTGCAGAGCGGTTCCAGATTCCCCCGCGTGGTCCCAAGGTCGGCCCTCTTGAGAGGGAGGTGGGGGGGGCTCAGGGATCCTCCCGCTCCACCAGGAAGTTGATGAGGGGCGTGCGGTGTGACAGGATGGCCCTGTGGATGGTGCGGCCGGCCAGGTGCTCGGCCCCGAGTGCGCTCAGCAGCACGGCGCTGCGCACCGCCTCCGCGTCGCCGGCCACCTCCCGCGGTACCGGCACGGAGCCCACCGCCACGTTGTTCACCTGCGCCCGCACACGACGCGGAGACCGCTTGAGATTCCTCACCTCGGCTCTCGAAGATGTTCACGGTTGCGCGTGGCGGTGAAGGCACGTGGCGCGTCCCAGGGGCCACACACCGCGGCCGAGTAATTTAAATGTCGCCGTGGCCGATCGTGGGCATCCGTAAGTTCGCGCGGAAGTTGGCGAGCGAGCCAAGAGTCGCCCGGCGAAAATGTAAAACGCTGCCGGACGAGCGATGGAAGGGGGCAGCGGCATCGCCATGTGGGATCCGCTCGTTGGCGTGGCAGGAGACGGCCGCCGGTGGGGTCCCACCAGAGGGGCCCCACCGGAGGGGCCCCTCAGGTGGGGCCCCCGCACGTACCCGGACTGTCACGTTCACGATGCCGGGCTCCCGCTCCACGACTTCAGAGCTGGCCGTGGGCCACGGGTGCTGCAGGACGTCGCGGTCCCACTCGAACCTCCGCCCCGTCTGCTTGTGCGGGACGCTGCCCACGCCTGGGCACGCCAGAGTCAGATATTCGTTTTGACCGCCCGCAGACTCACGACCCCGGGGTCGGAATTCGAGACATGAGTTGAACACCCACCCCCCTACGCCCCCATGAGTCATTCTGTTTCCTCACACCTATAATTATAATGGGGGTTAACCTATTCATCTTGTGGAGACGAAAGTCAACTTGCACAGGGCTGTAAGAAACCTTGGGCAGACATCCGAAACCAATATAGTATTCTGGCCCCAGCAGCAGGGAAAGGGGTCAGAATTCCCGGGGGTAAAAGTCCCATCTCACTCCGGAACTTGCTGCTCGTTGATGTCAGAACCAGAGCCAGGAGCCGAGTCTCCGAGTCGGGAGCCCACCAAGCTAAACAGCTCGAGGGCCACTTGGCCGGGAGACACCAGCGGCAGCACCAAAGTGCTTGCACATTACAAGTTACACGTGCATTTACAAAATGTAATGATAACAATGTTATCTTAAACGTTTCCGCAATTAGTAGAGAGATGGCGCGGGCGTCTGTACGTGCACGCGTGTGCGTGTACGCCGATACGATCGATCTCGCTCGGCTGGTCGTGGCTTGCGACTGGCGTCACCTCTCCAGAGCTCGGAGGCGAGGTGCGGCGCGAGCGGCGCCAGCAGGAGGCACAGCGTGGCGAGTGCCTCCTCGTACTCCTCGCTGAGCAGCGCCACGCGCGCAGACGCGTTCTGGTACACGCGCGCACAAAACAAGATCCCCCATATAGCCTTAACAGACTGTAGAGGCAAGTGCTGTTAGCGAGCACCTATGAAGGCTGGAACGGTACACGAGGGGGTGGGTGGCCAGCACCACGCCCGACCGCCTTCGTCTCCCTAGTGGCGATGTTTACACACCGCACCAGGTACTCATTTGAGGCTGAGTCGACCAAGGGGAGGCCCGGGACCGGTTCAGATAATCGTCACTGGTGTTGGCCGTGAGCGGGAATTGAACCCGGGTCGCCGGGTTCATAGCGCAGCCCGCTAACCGCTACACTATCGCTCCCCACACGCGCGCACACACGCGTACACGCACGCACACGCGTACACACACGCACGAGTACACGCAAGCGTACATGCGCGCGGCAGGAACGTGCGAGCGCCCGGTTCAATCAGCTGTGCGCCGTCTCGGTAACACATCTCACACATCTCACACGTCTCACACGTCTCACACGTCTCACACGGTCACACGACACGGTGATGCAGCCCGGAAAAGACGGGGACGTGACACAGCGATGAACACGTCGACCCGAGTGGGGACTGGCAGTGCCGTGGGTGTCTGCGCTCACAGTGAGGACGTTGGAGAGCCCGATGAGCCTGGAGATGGCGGAGTTGAGGAGGAATTCTTCCTCGAACACGGCCGTCACCTGCAGGAGACGCGGGGGCGTGGCGTCAGCGATGGTCGCGACCGCACGCCGCGGCACGCTATGGCACGACCCTGCGCGCGAGCCGCAAATTTATGGCCGAAATAAAGTCGGCGGGGTTGACAAATGTGCGTTACCGGGTGTTTACGTGTTACCGTGCATTAGCGCATGTCACACGCGCACAGACGGCGACGCAGCCACCGTCGCACAAGACGGTGGCACATTTATGAACATACCAAGACGGCGAACACAGTGACGAACACACAAGGACGGTGACACGCTGGGATTGCGATGCCGCGGGGAGACGCTGGCGTCACTGGCCTTGCGGACGGTGAGGTTCCTCTGCTCGCGGATCGTCGCGGCCTCCACCCTCTCGTCGCCGGACAGCAGGCCGGCGTCGAGCACCCCCACAGCCGCCCTGCCGGCCACGAGGCGTGACACCAGGGCCCAGAGTCGCACCTGCCAGCGCAGCACGCCGGGCAGTGCGTCCGCTGCCAGCGCCGACGGCCGCACGTGGCACCGGACACACGAGGCACGGGTACACGGGCACACAAGGTCATGGGGTCACGGGCACACGGGAGACACGGGCGGGACATGGGCACACAGGGGACACGGGCGGGACAATGGAACACAATGGCATGGAACCTTGGGTGGGACACACGCCCAATTAGTGACGATAATATTCATCGCCACAGTGATTTGTGTCAACGGTGACTGAGTGGAATGAAACTCATCGAGCCCGACGATGGCTCGGACTTCTAACGCACAGGTGAAAATAAAATAACAAAAAATCACGACGTTTCGGCCACAACACAAGCGGCCTTCATCAGGTGAAGGGACGAGACTGTCTGGAGGAGAGCGCTCTCGTCCCTTCACCTGATGAAGGCCGCTTGTGTTGTGGCCGAAACGTCGTGATTTTTTGTTATTTTATTTTCACCTACGTGACTTTACCCAAGAGTATGGATCCTAGCAGTCACGAAAGCTTTAAATCTAGAATTCTAACGCACAGCCCAAAGCACGAGGGCACTTCTGAGAGGGCTGCTTTTAGTGTTTAGTTCTTTCCCCGCACCTCCGATTAGCAGAGTTGGCTACGCGAAAACCGGCCATTGTGAACGGAGCAGTTAAACAAACTACCGAGAGGGACAAGCGAGAGGGCACTACCGAGTATGAACGAGGCCGCAGCCCGAGACCGTCGATAACGTGACAAGGGACGGCAGTGCACCGAGGAATCAAGGCGTGGTCAATGGCTAGACAAAAAATGGTTGACCCGAGCTCACTGATTGGCTGACCTCGTAATATTTACTGCGGGGGTGTGCGGAGGGAATTGTGCACCCCTCACTCATCTATTTGGTGAGTCGACCAGGCTAAGGGAACGACTAAAGTGAGGGAGCGACTAAAGTGAGGGAGCGACTAAAGTGAGGAAGCGACTAAACTGAGGGAGCGACTAAAGTGAGGGAGCGACTAAACTGAGGGAGCGACTAAAGTGAGGGAGCGACTAAAGTGAGGGAGCGACTAAACTGAGGGAGCGACTAAACTGAGGGAGCGACTAAAGTGAGGGAGCGACTAAAGTGAGGGAGCGACTAAACTGAGGGAGCGACTAAAGTGAGAGAGCGACTAAAGTGAGGGAGCGACTAAAGTGAGGGAGCGACTAAAGTGAGGGAGCGACTAAAGTGAGGGAGCGACTAAACTGAGGGAGCGACTAAAGTGAGGGAGCGACTAAAGTGAGGGAGCGACTAAACTGAGGGAGCGACTAAACTGAGGGAGCGACTAAAGTGAGGGAGCGACTAAAGTGAGGGAGCGACTAAAATGAGGGAGTGACTAAAGTGAGGGAGCGACTAAAGTGAGGGAGCGACTACAGTGAGGGAGCGACTAAAGTGAGGGAGCGACTAAAGTGAGGGAGCGACTAAACTGAGGGAGCGACTAAAGTGAGGGAGCGACTAAAGTGAGGGAGCGACTAAAGTGAGGGAGCGACTAAACTGAGGGAGTGACTAAAGTGAGGGAGCGACTAAAGTGAGGGAGCGACTAAACTGAGGGAGCGACTAAACTGAGGGAGCGACTAAAGTGAGGGAGCGACTAAACTGAGGGAGCGACTAAACTGAGGGAGCGACTAAAGTGAGGGAGCGACTTAATTGAGGGAGCGACTAAAGTGAGGAAGCGACTAAAGTGAGGGAGCGACTAAACTGAGGGAGCGACTAAACTGAGGGAGCGACTAAAGTGAGGGAGCGACTAAAGTGAGGGAGCGACTAAAGAGCGACAAGACCACGACGGGAGCACCGCCTGCGAGGCCGGGGAGCAGCGCAGCAGGCGGAGAGGGGCTCGGGACAATGCGTCATGGGGAAGGAAGACGGAATGTAGAGTGGGGGGGTGTGAGGGGGAGCGCGGCCACTGTGAATTACGGCCGAGCCGGAATCGGCTCGGAGCCAGGAATTCGCTCTTGGCACGCGGCGCGCACGGGCGGCGGGCGGGCAACGGCAGCGGCGCCAGGATCACCGCGAAACCGGCCATTGTAAACGGAGCAGGGAAGCGGCACTGCTCACCCCCCGCCCCAGCCCCCCTGAAGCAGGCGGGATCAGCGGAGAAGGCCACGGCTCCGGTGGCGGAGGAGTGGTGGGGAGGGCGGGTTGTACGGTGAGCGTTGGCACAGTGTTGGCGTGGGACCAGTGGCTCAGTGGGTGATTGCAGGGATGGTGGAACACAGGTGATACAGGTAGTGTGGCGCAGTGTTACAGGTGGCACAGTAGGGATTGTACAGTTCGTATGATAGTGGCACAGCGAGGTGGTAAAGGTGGCACAGCGAGGGTGCCACAGTGGTACCGGTAGTAAGGGGCGATTGACACAGCAGTTGCGGTGGGATGGGGAGTGCGGTAATGCACGTGGTGATGCACGTGGCGTGGTCAAGCGTGTGGTGCTGCGGTGGGATTGACGCTGGCGCCACCCACTCTTGCTGTCCCACAGCAGGTCCTGCTCGGGCGGCGCGGCGTACAGCAGGAACAGGCGGGCCGTATCCAAGCCGTAGGCGGCCAGCACCTCGTCCGGCTCCACGCCGTTGTGCTTCGACTTGCTCATCTTCTCCCACGTCACCTCCAGCGCCTCGCCCGTCGAGCGGTGCGTCGCTTTGTCGCCTGCGCGGGATCGAGAGGGGGCCCCGCGGGGCGCAGGGAGCAACGGCGGCGTTGGGACTCGCGTGGCCTTGGCCGGGCCGCGGCACCCGCATCCGGGCGGGCGAACCGACTCGGCGCCCGCCGGGTCGCGTCGACGCCAAAGCGACGGCACGGCGAGCGGTCGCAGCACCGTCCGGGAGAGAACCCGGCAACCGCTTCGGCGAGCCGCGTTTGGCCGCGTTTCACCATCGCGAGCCGCGGCCAAGTACATCGAGGCGGGTGGACCGGCGACCGCCCGTACACGGCGCCGACAATACCACGGCAAGCCAGCTCACCACCCCCACCACCCCCACTACTGCCAGGCACGCGCCTTCCCCTCTCCCCCCCAACGTTCTGTCTGACAGTCACGTGACTCCTGCTCACCGCTGACGAGCACCTCGCTGCGCGGGAGGAACTGGCCGGTGGACGGGAGGCGGAACGTCTGGCCCTTGATGAGGCCCTGCACCAGCAGCCTCCGGAACGGCTCCCTAGAGGGGGTGGCAGAAGACATTTCTACAAATCTCCATTCGTGTGAATGGGAATCTTTAATGCACCGCAAAGCGGACATACACAAGGTGCAGACCGGTGCTGGGCAGCTCCGGCACCACCCCGGACGGTTGTTCAATGGGCGATTGCCATGCTAAATTCTCGACATTATAACAGGGTGAGCGTGCCATCCAGTGGGGAGCTCTGGAATCGCGCTCAAATGCCCCATTATATTATAATTCCGCTTATTTACCCAGCAAAATCTCAGATGATTTTTCAGCGCTGAGGATGTTTGCATGTTTTTTTTGTAGCTGTGCGAACTCGAGAACCCAGAGGAAACACGTGCAGAACAGGGAGGACGTAAACTCGACGAGGCTCTCCCGGGTAAACAAGGGCAATCGCAAGAACAACAACCGTGTGAGAAGGTCTACTGGATGCGGCGTGCCGCGTGCGGAGGAGGCGGCGGAGGAGGAGCCGACCTGGTGGCCACCATGCCCTGGTCGTGGCAGAAGTGGCTGAGGAAGCGTGCGTAGTAGAGATGCATCACCGCGTGCTCCTTGCCCCCCACGTACACGTCCACCGGCATCCAGCGGTCGGCACGGGCACGCGAGAACGCACTGTCACACCGCACCGCGTCACACCGGCGCGTCGCACCGCACCGTTACACCGCACCATACCATACCGTGACCTCAGGCCACACCGTAACACAAACTGTTAGCACATAATGCGACAACACAAGGGCACGATACCACACTGCAGCATGCGTCTACACCGCCACTCTAACATCATGCCACAACAGCACCGCAATACACACCGAGTTGTACCACCACACGCACCGCACCACTGCAAAGACATCGTCTCCACTCTCCAAAGATCAACCAATCACAGGGTGCGGTACTGCGTTCTGCTCCTAGCGAAACCGCTGCCGATTGGCTGTCCGGTGTGCGGACGGCCCAGGGATCTGACGTGACGATTCGGCGATCTGGGTTCGGAGCGGGGACGCTCGGCTCCTTGACCCCGGCACTCGCCGGAAGAAGCAGCAATTTGAGAGTCCAATCGTGGAGTTAGATCGTAAACAGAGCACGCAGATCCATCTCGGCCTCCGCCCGCACATCCCGCCGGGACCCGAAACACGACGGTAATTCACAGCGCAGGCCGCGCACAAGTGCCAACGCATTTTTTGTAAAATATTTGTATTTATCCAAGGTTTTATACCCCAATGCATTCAGTGCATCATCCTGCGATAGGGAATAGCCAAGATAATGGCCTGTGGAAGGAGATAACGTGGAACTACTTCTGAGATACATTCAAGTGACCCCGACGATCCTAGAAGGGGAGCGCAGCTTCTAGGAGTAGAACCATAAAATCTGAGGACAGAGCGAGATGGTGACACGATGGCTGCCGTGGGGGGAGGGGCGCACGGGGAGGGGCGGGGTCGAGCAGCCCCGTCGGGCGAGGCCTGCGCCACCAGGCCTGCCGCTAACCTCGTGTCGTTGTCGGGGTCGGTGTATCGCAGGAAGTACCAGGCCGAGTCCACGAAGGTGTCCATGGTGTCCGTCTCCCTGCGCGCCGGGCCGCCGCACCTGGCGCAGACGGGCAGAGGCCGTGGACCCCGGCCGTTAGCGCCTCGTGGCCTTGACGTCACGGCCGGGACAATGCCGACGGTCATGATAGCGAAATTCTACGAGGCTCAAATGGGACACACCCACTTTTACATAGCCACGCCCACTCAATCACTAGCTCATGCCCATCACACAGACATGAAAAAAACATAAAGACAAAGATTCGCGTATGTCCATATGTATCTTTTGCACCGAACGAGCATCAGGATGTTGGTGCGTGAGCAAGCACGGCACGCAAGGGGGTGGGTGGCCAACACCCCGTCCTAGTGGCCATGCTCACACATTGCACCAGGTACTCATTTCGAGGCTGAGTCGACCTAAGGGAGGCCCAGGACCATCAATGGAGTTGGCTGTGAGCAGGAATCAACTTCAGGTCGTTAAGTTTGTTGCGCAGCGTGTTAACCGCGACACTACTGCTCCCCTAACAACACGATGGACACACAGACGCACGCGCACCACACCGCGCCAGCCCACCGTACTTGGGGCACCGGCAGTGCAGCCAGTCGGTGGCGGCGAGCAGGGGCGACGCGCCCTTGCCCGTGAACGTGGCGACGCGGGGCAGATGCACGGGCAGCTGCGAGGGTGGCACGGCCACGGCGCCGCACGCGCCGGCGCAGTGCACCACAGGGATGGGCGTGCCCCAGTAGCGCTGGCGCGACACCAGCCAGTCGCGCAGCTTGGCGCTGGTCGCGTGGCCCCCGGCACCCAGCCGGCGCGCGAGGAGCATTGCCGCGTCGCGTGCTGCCCCCCGCTCCAGCCCCGACAGCTGCCGCGGGGGAGGGGGGGTCGGAGGTCAGAGGAAAGAGGCAGCGTCAATTCCCGTGGACGGAGTTTGGGACCCATGATCCATATTTGTTTTTGGTTCCACGTGGCTGAACTGGACAACGAATATGGATTACCGTACTACGGAAAACTGGTGGTGAAAGCGTTTGTTAACGAAGTGCTTTAATCGGGGCTGACGATGATGACGAAGATGACTATGAGATCTGAGCGACCCGTCTGTGCGTCTGTCTGTGTGGGCAGAATCCGGGAGGCCTGGTGGCTCCGGGCACTGCCCTCCCTTTGAGCCACTGTGGGGCGGGTAGTGGACCGACCACGCGGGTGGCTCGGGGCCAGTGGTGAATCTGTTCATGGAATTGACGGCGAAAACTTTCACCAACGGCGTTCCTTCACTTTTGTCAAAGGTGACAGTGGCACCTGCTCGGAGTTGATGACTCGCTCCGTGCCGTCGGGCAGGCTCTCGAAGACGGCCGTGCACTCCAGGCCCAGTTTCTCGGCGACGGCGGCGTCCTCGGGGGATGCGCCGGGGATTCCTGGGACGATTCACGAGCACACGGACGCACCAAATCACCACCGAACCCCCACTGAATCCCCATCCGATCACTACTGAAACACCACCAAAATCACCATCGGAGCACCAATGCCTTCACCCAGCAGTAGATGGATCGCGGCTGATATTGTCGAAGGCTTACCTATCATGCACTCCAGGTAACCTTCGAACTCCGAGCTGGCGGCAATGACGACGGGGATCCGTTGTCCGGTGAAGGGGTGAACGGCCTTCACCTGGGTCAGGACGTCTGTGGAGACAGCGCCGGAGCGGTGCACAAGGTGGCGCGGGGTTGATTTGTCGACTCGCAGTCGCGTCACGGGCACCTCGATATGACACGGAGACTACGACTCCAACGACGAACGCTGGCCGGACGGTCACAAACGTGGGAGACGGGAACCAGAGCGGAAAGGGCGACGAGGAAACACGCTCCGTGTTGCCGGGAACGCAGCAGGGTGGCCCGCGCGAGACCCCGGCTCGGCCTGGCCAAGGCGACCGCTGCGGCGTTGGGCGACGGCGAGAAACCGTCGGGGCGGACACTGGAGGCCGCTCGCGTCTCTACCGCGCGTCTCGACTGTGCGGCAGCAGCGGCGGCAGCCGCGGCGGGATCTGGCGTAGGGGAGAGGGCATCGGTAGCGAGGAGGAGGTGTGGCGGTGTTAGCGGTACGAAGACCGAGTGATCTCCATCGCGTCCGATCGAGCGCGGCTCGCGAGGATGATTTCGGGACTGACCGGTGTCCGGAGAGACGTCGCCACCGCCGAACGCTGCGCGCAGCCGGCTCTTGGGGTGCAGTAGCCGGTGTCGGCGCAGCAGGTGGAGGTGCGACGCGCCGTGCGCCGCCTCCGGCGCGTACGTGAAGGCCGGCAGGACCTCGCCGGTCGGCTCGCCGCCCACCTGCCCCGCCACCGCCACACAAGCGATCGCTCGTCACCACGGGAGACACCGGGAGCCTGAACTACCCAACGGAATGTTCGTCTTCGTGGGCGACGCTGACAAATCGTCCATCAAGGGTGACGCTGAGAGTGCGAACGAACCGATTGTCACCACGTGTGACACGGGCAGCCTCAACTACTGAGAGGACTGTTCATCAAGGGCGACGCTACCAACCCAAACTACCCAAGCGACTGTCCTTGATTGTCAAAACTAGCAGCGGGGGCACCTTTGTCTGTGCGAGAACAACCACACACACGTGTGTTTACACACACGTGTGTGTGGTTACACGTGTGCACACGTGTGTGTGCGCACGCGTGTATGGAGAGCGGTGGTGCGTTGGCTCGCGTACTGCGCTACAAATTCGGTGGCCTGGGCTCGATTTCAACTCACGGACAACATCAGTGGCGAATATCTGAATAGTTCCTGGTCCTACTCTAGGCTGACTCATCCTGAAATGATGAGTTGGTGCGGTGCGTAAACATCGACACAAAAGCCGTGGTACCCGCCCCCTCCCATGCCATTCCGGCCTTAATCGGTGCTCGCCGACCCACCACTTGCCGCAACGGTCTGACGAAGGCTACGCGGGGGCACCTTTGTCTGTGCGCCGTGTGCGCGGTGGCCGTCACCTCGAGGGGGAAGTGCAGGAAGCAGCCGGAGCAGTCCCCCAGCCAGTTGGCCTGCATGGCACGCACGCCGTGCCACGCCGGTAGCTCCCGCAGCCCGTCCAGCAGCGCCTGCCAGCGACACCGCACGTGGACGCTCAACGACCGCAGCCACGCCCGACCCACGCCGGTGCCAGCACGTGCGCCCACGTGTGCATGCGTCCGCGCGTCTGCGCGTGCGTCTGCGCGTCCGTCCGCGTGTGTGTCCGTTCGTCCGCGCACGCGCGCGTCACCTTGGCGTAGGCGGTCGTGCGCAGGAACCACTGACGGATGTAGCGCTGCTCCACCACGGCTCCAGAGCGCCACGACCGACCGGACTCGTCCACCTGCTCGTCCGCTAGCACCGTCTGGTCCACGGGGTCCCAGTTCACCAGCGCCTGCTCACCAACACGTCACCCACAATCGCCCAACAACAACATCCATCGCCGCCGTTCGCCACCGAGCGGCGGTGCCGTCACCGCGGTGCCAGGCCAGGTGCATGTCACCCACCACCACCCACACAACCCCCCACCACCCCCCACAGGCTTTAAGGGCTTCTGCTGTCGTAGGAGTCACCGCTAGATGCAGGCCGTCGCCATCTCCCATGATCCTGCGATGTCACAATCCGGAAACCGCACATGGGCTCATCGTATCGCTCCATCTCTGCCGTGGAAGTCCCCTCGGGGATGTCCCCTTGTCCGCCGCTCCATCACGAGTCTACACCATCGGCCATCGTCCCTTCTCGCGACTCTGACGACCAAAGCGTACAAATGGCGAGTCCGTCGCGTACCTCCTTCTGGTACGCCAGGCCAGCCTCAAAGAGCTTGACGAACAGGTACTGAGTCCACCTGTAGTACTCCGGCTTGCAGGTGTAGATCTCCTGGAACGAGACGTGGGGCGGGTAGCACGCAGGGCGCGGCACGCACCACCACACCGTCGCCGCACCAACGGCAACCCATGTGTGCTTACAGCGTGTGAACGTACGCGCGTATCCGCGGGGCGTGCGTGCGCAGACGAGCGGGGGTGCTACTCACGCGGTCCCAGTCGAAGCACAGGCCCAGGTTCTGCAGCTGAGTCCGCATGTGGGCGATGTTGCTGCGCGCAGACACACACGTTCGCACGCGTTCGGGTGCGCTTCGACATCAGCACTTGTGATGCAGGGTTAGAAGGGTTAGGAATTGGGGTCGCGGTTCTTTACCCACCGCGCTCTTGACGTCACGGGGCTAAGGAACGAAAGCGGCGCCCCGCCGTGCAAGAGAAGCGACCCTGGAAGATGACGTCACAGAACCGCTTCTCGGGTCCATGCAATTCCCTCTTATCCACAGACAGTGGCGCCACCACCTCACACGGCCTGCTGTACAGATTCCAGCCCAATGCCAATCTAAGCGCAGGTCTTGCCGACGTTATACATCTGGAATGCGCGCGTTCTTGCGCGTGCGTTCACTTGCGAGCCGCACGTCGCCACGGCGACCCCCCCCCCCCCACCTCGTTGTCCACTCCTCGGGGTCGAGGCCACGCTCGATGGCCGCGTTCTCCGCGGGGAGCCCGAACGCGTCCCAGCCCATGGGGTGCAGCACCTGGGGGGGCACGGCAGGCGTGGGGCACGGGGCGCCTAGTTAGGGCAACCGCGCGTAGGGCACGCAGTGCGGGGCACGCGGCATTGGGCACGGGGCAGAGGGCACGGAGCGCCCTCCGCCGCATACAGGCGATGGGGCGCGGGGCGTGGGGTCGGGCGCGTGGTCACGGGCCGCGGCGCCACGAGAGGAGCGTTCGCGGTAACCCCCCTCCCCGCTCTGGGGGTCCGCGTCTGGGGACCCGCTCGCCGTCTACCGCACCGCGAGTCCGGCGGCGGGACGGAGGCACGGCACTCGCGCCGGTCGCTCGCTCCCTCGGGAAGCCGCGGGGCGGCAGAGCGCGACGCGCTGGGCCGCCGCGCGGCACGCGCGTGGTGACGCTGGCGGTGGTGGCCGTGTTTGCGGTGTCAAGTGTTGGTGGTCACAGTGATGGCGGTGTCGGTGTGTTGGTGCCGGTACTGCTGGTGTTGGTAGTGCCAGCGGTGGTGGTGGTGGTGTCGGTGGTGTGGTGGTCACCTGTTTGCCGTTCATGCGATGGAAGTGCGCGATGGCGTCGCTGATCGTGTAGACGCGCACGTGCCCCATGTGCAGCCTCCCCGACGGGTACGGGAACATGGAGAGCACGTAGCTCTTGGGCCTCTCAGCCTGGGGAGGAGGCAATGCCACAACACCACAACACCACAACAGCACACCACCACCACATCAACACCACCGCATCATCACCACCACAACACCACACCATCACCACCACCACAACGACACACGGCCACCACCACCACATCAAACACCACATCATCACCACCACCACAGCAGCACACCATCACCACCACCACAACAGCAGAACCACCACCACCACCACATCAACACCACCGCATCATCACCACAACCACATCACCACACCATCACCACCACAACAGCACACCGCCACCACCACCACACCAACACCACCACATCATCACCACTACCACCACAGCAGCACACCATCACCACCACCAGCACATCATCAACACCACCACATCTTCACTGCTGTGTCACCACATCGCTTCCACGTCATCTTTACACCACCACATTACCAGGTACTCTTTTATGGCTGAGGTGATCTAGCTGTGGCTCAGGACAAGTTCTGATAGCACTCATCATTCACAATAGCCGAGTTTAGGAATAGAGCTTGTTCTGTGTGAACCACTGTGCCCCTGCTCCCTAAACACTCTCACATACACACCCACTACACACGGCAGTGTAGTGGTTAGCACAGTGCATTACGAACCCGACAACCCGAATATGATTCCCGCTAAGTACCAACATCTGTGGTGATTGTCTCAACCGGTTCTGGGTCTCCCCTAGGTTTACTCAGCCTTAAATGGGTACCTGGTGGAGTGTGGTACTGGACACACCACCCCACCCCCATGCTCCACTGCTACCCTACAAGCCCTCTCTGTGGCTGATGAAGATAACGAGGTCCAACCAGCTGAACCCACGAGGCACTGGGCTCTGCAGGTCGTGACCCGGGCACGGGCGTGCGGGCGATCTCTGGAGTGGCGAGGGTCCCGTACCGGATCGCTTGTCGCCGGATCATCGCGTTCCCACGCCAGAGCGGTTTACAATGTCCCCGGTAATCCGCTCCCAATGGAATCCATCCGCTCGCCGCTCGCCCGTGGGTAGCGAGGGGGGGGTGCATTGTGGCCAGCTTAGCGGGGTAGGGCACCGTCCACGGGAAATTTTATCAAACGTAATTAACACAACCGCTAAATATAGCCAGCGATAAACTCGTGGATGCCCGAAAAAACTAAATTGTTGCGAGAGACTCTAGAGAAAAGGAATATTGTAGTTCACAGAGATCCATTGAGGAGTCATTCTAAATCAGTGGGGTATCTATAGCAGGGTCATTATAAATCAGTGGGATCTCTATTGTGGGGTCATTATAAATCCGTGGGATCTCTATTGTGGGGTCATTATAAATCAGTGGAATCTCTATAGCAGGGTCATTCTAAATCAGTAGGATCTCTATCGTGGGGTCATTATAAATCCGTGGGATCTCTATTGTGGGGTCATTATAAATCAGTGGGATCTCTATAGCAGGGTCATTCTAAATCAGTAGCATCTCTATTGTGGGGTCATTCTAAATCAGTGGGATCTCTATAGCAGGGTCATTCTAAATCAGTGGGATCTCTATTGTGGGGTCATTCTAAATCAGTGGGGTATCCATAACAGGGTCATTCTAAATCAGTGGGGTATCTATAGCGGGTTCATTATAAATCCGTGGGATCTCTATTGTGGGGTCATTATAAATCAGTGGGATCTCTATAGCAGGGTCATTCTAAATCAGTGGGATCTCTATTGTGGGGTCATTATAAATCAGTGGGGTATCTATAACAGGGTCATTAGATATCAGTGGGGTATCTATAGCGGGGTCATTATAAATCACTGGGATCTCTATTGTGGGGTCATTCTAAATCAGTGGGGTATCTATAGCAGGGTCATTATAAATCAGTGGGGTATCTATAGCGGAATCATTATAAATCAGTGGGATCTCTATTGTGGGGTCATTATAAATCACTGGGATCTCTATTGTGGGGTCATTATAAATCAGTGGGATCTCTATAGCAGGGTCATTATAAATCAGTGGGATCTCTATTGTGGGGTTATTCTAAATCAGTGGGATCTCTATAGCTGGGTCATTCTAAATCAGTGGGATCTCTATTGTGGGTCATTCTAAATCAGTGGGATCTCTATAGCAGGGTCATAAATCAGTGGGATCTCTATAGCGGGGTCATTATAAATCAGTGGGGTATCTATAGCAGGGTCATTCTAAATCAGTGGGATCTCTATTGTGGGGTAATTCTAAATCAGTGGGATCTCTATAGCAGGGTCATTCTAAATCAGTGGGATCTCTATTGTGGGGTCATTCTAAATCAGTGGGGTATCTATAACAGGGTCATAAATCAGTGGGATCTCTATAGCGGGGTCATTATAAATCAGTGGGATCTCTATTGTGGGGTCATTCTAAATCAGTGGGATCTCTATAGCAGGGTCATTCTAAATCAGTGGGATCTCTATTGTGGGGTCATTCTAAATCAGTGGGATCTCTATAGCAGGGTCATTCTAAATCAGTGGGATCTCTATTGTGGGGTAATTCTAAATCAGTGGGATCTCTATAGCAGGGTCATTCTAAATCAGTGGGATCTCTATTGTGCGGTCATTCTAAATCAGTGGGGTATCTATAACAGGGTCATAAATCAGTGGGATCTCTATAGCGGGGTCATTATAAATCAGTGGGATCTCTATTGTGGGGTCATTCTAAATCAGTGGGGTATCTATAGCAGGGTCATTCTAAATCAGTGGGATCTCTATTGTGCGGTCATTCTAAATCAGTGGGATCTCTATAGCAGGGTCATCCTAAATCAGTGGGATCTCTATTGTGGGGTAATTCTAAATCAGTGGGGTATCTATAGCAGGGTAATTCTAAATCAGTGGGGTATCTATAGCAGGGCAATTATAAATCAGTGGGATCTCTATTGTGGGGTCATTCTAAATCAGTGGGTTATCTTTTGCAGGGTCATTATAAATCAGTGGGGTATCTATAGCGGGATTATTATAAATCAGTGGGGTATCTATAGCGGGGTCATAAATCAGTGGGGTATCTATAGCGGGATCATTATAAATCAGTGGGATCTCTATTGTGGGGTCATTCTAAATCAGTGGGATCTCTATAGCAGGGTCATTCTAAATCAGTGGGGTATCTATAGCAGGATCATTATAAATCAGTGAGATCTCTATTGTGGGGTCATTCTAAATAAGTGGGATCTCTATTGTGGGGTCATTCTAAATCCGTGGGATCTCTATTGTGGGGTCATTATAAATCAGTGGGGCATCTATAGCGGGATCATTATAAACCAGTGGGGTATCTATAGCGGGATCATTATAAATCCGTAGGATCTCTATTGTGGGGTCATTCTAAATCAGTGGGATCTCTATAGCAGGGTCATTCTAAATCAGTGGGGTATCTATAGCGGGATCATTCTAAATCAGTGGGATAGGGTCATTATAAATCAGTGGGGTATCTATAGCAGGGTCATTCTAAATCCGTGGGATCTCTATAGCAGGGTCATTCTAAATCCGTGGGATCTCTATAGCAGGGTCATTCTAAATCCGTGGGATCTCTATAGCAGGGTCATTCTAAATCCGTGGGGTATCTATAAATAGGAACAACACAGGTCAGCGATGCTGTACATAAAGCAAATCGAATGAAGAGTAACTTGTGTCGGACTTGTCATGGAAGTGGAGAGCCAACAGAGAAGGAAAGAGTGGAAGAGACGGCAGCAGCAGAGGCCACGGCCGCTCGGGAGCAGCGGGGAGAGAAGGGGTGGAGAAGGACGGGGGGGGGGCTTTGTCCAGCGGTGGGGAAGTTACCGGCTCACAACAACAACAACATCTATAAATGGATCGCGCGGTATGTGTGCCTATGTCACTGTCAACTTAAGGTCACAGGACCTGTAATTACACGGCCACGTATTTACTCGGTGCAAATATTTAAGCGGATGGGATTGCGTGTTAGGCGCTACGCTGTCACAAAAGCGCGGCAACGCCCGCGCCTCCCGACTCCGTGCCGCGCCAAGGATACTGTTTCGATGACCTCCGACCCCTGACACGAAGGGACAAAGCGAGCGAGAGCCGAGGCGCTCGCTCCGGCGGCGCTGGGCGACATCAAGAGCGCCGTGGGTTTTTAACGAACCACGGCCAACGACCGAGCGTTGGGATTTAAAGAATCCCGGAACAAGACCTTTCACCTCGCCCCAAAAATCAATCGCGGGCGAGAGACCGCGTTTTAAGGGGACGTGCAACGATCGCGCCGGTTTGAGCCCAGCGGTGACTGCGGCCGCGACGAGAATGGTTCAGGGGCCAGGGTCACGGGAAAGGGACAGTCGACGTGAACTCCGACCCCACACACGAGGCAGCTGGGTGGAGTGGGGCTCGCAAGCCGATTTAGCGCCGTGTGCCGGCTATCACCGCGAACCTCCTCTCCGGTGCTCGCTCCTCACAGCACTGCTGAAGCGCGTGGCACCACGGACGCGAGACTTTCGTGGGCCTCACTCCATCGCTGTCAACGCCCCAAAACTCCTGGAACCATCGCTTCACACACTCACGTCCTTGGCTCCTCTCCCATCTCAATCGCGGCTCGATGCCGAAAGGTCGATTCTGCACGATAACTTCACTCGCAATTATTGAATATCCTCGTGTCTACAAATATTAGGCAGAAGTCACCATATACTTACACTGCACATAGAGTAACATTGGTCAATGACACGCATCGGCCATTGACTCACACTGCCCACAGACTCACATTGCCCTCTTGACTCGTATATCCTCATCTGTATTCGTACAACAGTCACCCGATATCTGTTTAATGTTTCTGTAACTTATTTTGTAATTGTGCTACGATCAGCCGAAAAAGAATCTGCCCAAGCCGACTTAGGCTACAGGGAATTAATTCATACCTAATTATAATTGTGAAATATTTTAAGATTTTCATAAGATGCAGTTGTGTTTGCTCAAACAGTAAAATCTTGGATTGCGAGCATAATTCGTTCTGGAAACGTGTTTGTAATCCAAAGCACTGTATATCAGTTGTGATCACATGACGCTCGGCAGACAAAGCGTATACGTACTACTCGTATTGCAAGACCTCGCTCGTTTATCAAATTAATATTTATTTAAAAAATTTGCTCGTCTTGCAAAACACTCGCAGACCAAGTTACTCGCAATCCAAGGTTTTACTGTATTTCTATTTGCTTTGTTGCTGTGCTTCATTTGATCTGTTTTGCTCTTGTCATATTGGTGACCGAGGTCACGCTTGCAAAATGAGGCTCATCCTGGTCTCTCGAGTTGTTGCGCGGTTACACAAACCGCACTTGGCGACTTGAACCTCGTGTTCGAGTCGCATCGCGTCGTCGTTTGGCACGATGTCGGACGTTTTGCTCCACGTGCTGGGACCGAACTGAGCCGTTCACCTCCCCCCTCGACGAACAGAGCAGAGCCAATCAGCAACAAGAACCGGCGACGCCAGCAGTAGCGTCAGCGGCAGCCGGCGGCGCTTTATGACGGAGGGACAACCGAGCCGGCTCAAACCAGTCATTCCCAGCAGCACACGGAGCGAAACGTCGAACACCGCGCCGAACGTCGTGCAGCACGACCCGAAAACGCATGGGAGGGCAGAGTGGCAGCGGATCGCACCGCACTTGTTTACTCAGGCGTCCCCGGAACGAATCCGCGCTGTGGGTTCGTGCGCTGCGAGCCACCGGGGGAGTTTGATGCTCATTTAGAGAGGCGTCTCACGAGGTCTTCGTGGAATGTTCCACGAATCGATTTGCAACTGCGCCGTCCGTGCAAATGCCACTCTCGCGTGCAAACACCAGCTGTGGGAAGGTAAAGGCGCATCCCTGCAATAACTCGCTCACGCCACTGCTGGCGGAAGGGCTTCCGCCAGAGAGGCGCTCTACAGAGCACCTTTAGAGGCTTCTGTGGCCTCGTCATCCACGCCGGCCAGCCGTCTTGGATGACGAGGTGGGAGTACTCTTACTTTACCCCACCAACACTCGACCTGCTGATCGGCTAATCCCGGTGTATCCTAATGTGTGCTGCCGGATTGACAGAGGCGGCGGTGGGGATTAAGAAGCTTGCGCCGCTGCGTCCGCTGTGGCGCTGGACGCACCAAGCGGTCTGCTCCCACCGGACTTATTACCCTCTCCCGACACAATTTTACAAGCGCTATATATAATACGGGCTTGATTACATTAATTTAACAAAACCGCTTCAGACGATTGTGATTTAATTTGCTATTATGCGCGCTGAACACGACCTTTGTGAATTTCACTTGGCGGCTGTTAACGAGATCCGTTATGCTACATTTACATTTTAAGGTGCATGTATTTTGTAAAAGATGTATTCCCTTGCAAATGGGACAAACGGGACAGTCGGTTCCCAATAGTGTATCGTGGGGGGTTAAATCGCGGTTCCACGTGGCACGTGGTTCCAATGCCTGACACTCCTTGCGATGATGCGCCAGTATCATCTGACGATAATGGCCTCGGATCCATAAGAATGCCCTTGCGGTTGAACAAACATCATCGTCACGCATTCATTTCTAAACCGGATATTTTCCGGATCGTTGGCGAGACCGGAGTGGGTGGCACGTGGCCAGTCGAAGCCACGGCCAGAGCGAGCGAGAGCTATACTCGATGTGGTGTGCCCGCGTCTCACCGAGGAGCGCGACAGCTCTTTGCAGATCTGCTGGATCCTGGGTCTCCACCAGCGCTCCACCTTGGCGCGCGTCTCCGCCGTGTACCTCTTCTCCCACTGCCCCGTCTCGCTGTAGATGCTCCGGGCCGGGATCCCGCAGCCCGGCCGGGGCCACGCGCAGCAGTGGGGGGCCCACGGCACGCGGGGGGGCCGCAGGCGCGACGGCAGCCTCAGCAGCATGACCTGCACCGCGCGGATCGTGGCCGCGATCGGCATGGCTCAGTTGAGCGGGGTGACGGATGGACGTCGCCTCTCGCGGGTTTTTTCGTGCGGTGGACCTCGTGTCGCTGCGGGCCGCATGGAACGAAGTCACGGGGCCGTGTCTGGCCTGCGAGTCGCATAGCCAAATCGCTCCTGCGGCTGAGGTAAGGGGTCGGAAGTCTTTCATCCCAGAGCTCATTACAAAAAAAATGCACGGGGTGAGGTGAGGCGATGGGGTGGATGAGACTCGGGACATCGGCACGGATATGTAATCAGATCTCCCGGACGGGAGCCCTCATTAGTGGACCCGGCGCGCGCGTCCGTGTCACGCGCGCGTCCGTGTCACGCGCGCGTTACATTTCATCCGCGTCACGCGCCCGGCGGCAATCGATGGCACGCCGCCTGCACGGCACCCTGTGCGAGCAATCGACGATGCCTGGGAATGGCACTGGGTGCTTGTAACAAGGCAGCACTGGGATGCGTGTGTCCACGGAGCCCGCTAAAATGTTGCTTTTGCGTCTCAATTGGCGCTGCTTCTTCATCACCGGCAGCGATGGTCTATCCACTGTTGGATGAGAGCCTCACATAAGGGGCCGTCCATAAATGACGTCACGCGATTTTGGACGATTTTTTACCCTCCCCGTCACAAAAAGTCAAACCCCCCTCAAATATGACGTCACAAAGCCTCCCCCCCCCCCAACCATATTTCCATTTTGAAAATAAAACATGATTCAAATCGCTTTAAACTATTGACATTGTAGTGCGTATTTAATGTGGCGCTGCACTCTGATGTTGCAGGAGAAAACATTTATTAAAAAGTAAATTTAATTAAGTAGAACGTGTTGTCTATATTTATTTAAAGTTTCGCATTTTGATGTGACGTCACATTTCTCAACCCCCCCCCCCCTCGTCACAAATGTCTGACCCCCTAGGTGCGTGACGTCATTTATGGACGGCCCCTTACACGACATGTACTGTACACACTTGTCAAGCCAACGCCGTCTTTGAGCCCTTTGCCCACCCACAGCAGGGTGGAAGCCGTTCCTCGCTCGCAGGAGACTGGCCGCAGGGGACCCTCACCACGCTCCTCGGTGGAGTGGCGTCCCTGGACCGGTTCACAAAGTACTGTAGCCACTGATGTTAGCCGTGGTGGGTAAGAGACACTCGGGGTCGCTGCTGCGTTATTCCTGCAGTGCGCAAACCACTGCCCCACCACTCGCACAATTACCCGACAATGACAGTACGGGCATTGTGTATACAAAAAAGACAAAGATCCCCCGTGTAGCCTTAAACAGACTGTAGGGGCAAGTAATGTTTGCGAGCACCTGTGAAGGCCGGAACAGTACACGACGGGGTGGATGGCCAGCACCACGCCAGACCGCCTTTGTCTCCCCAATAGCGATGTTTACACACCGCACCAAGTAATAATTTGAGGCTGAGTCGACCTAGGGGAGGCCCAGGACCGGTTCAGATAATCGTCACCGGTGTTGGCCGTGAGCGGGAATCGAACTCGGGTGTTTGGGTTCGTAGCGCAGTGTAGCGCTAACCGCTGCACCACCGCTCCCCACACAACACACAGCACCTACGGGCTTCACGCCATGTGTGTGACTTTCATCGGCACGGGCGGTTCAACAGCCATGAAAACTAGACAACTCGCGACATTGTTCATGTCATAGACGTTTATAATCACTCACTGATGGAGCTGGGCAAACATCGCAACATCGGACCACAGAGCTTGGGAGTTCCTGGCGCCGATTCTGCAGGCTGCACTCTCCGCTCGCCTGTGGCTTACCGCGCCTCTGACTCGCGCGCTCGCTCGCTCTCTCTCCGAGTGAACAGAAACTGTGCGCGCTGTAACAATACCAACATCACCATTGTTGTTGATGTTCTGTGTAAGGCTACGCGAACAAACCCCGTGTTCGCGTGTGCAACACTCACGCGTACAGCAGGCGACTCGGCGTGCGGTTATCTGTGAGACCGATCCGCTCTCGCCCGCCGACAATAGTCAGTTGTGTGTACCCTCTACATACAGTGCCTTCTCCACTGCTAGATACACAGCGGACACACACGCACACACGTGCTGTGGCCGTGGTGGTGTACTGTACCGCCCACACGTGCTGCCAGGGTCGCCCTCTGCGCGTCCATCTTACTCAGGGGGGCGCGAGCCCCGCGCGCCATCTTGCTCAGGGGTAGCCCCCGCAGTGGCAGTGAACAATCCGTGCGGCGCACAAACAACACGATCCGTGTCAACAACACCACCACCGCCGTCTGTTCGTGGCCTTTACAAGGAAGAGGTATAGCATCGGTGACGTTTCGGGCAATGACCCTCATTCATGGCATATAAACAGTGGATGACACGAGTTGGAGATTGCGCGTTTACACCAAAGGGTGATACTTTATGAAGGAAATGCGTCTCTATTAAAAGTGCTTGAGGTGACATCAACAATATGAACTATCTTCTTTGGTTCTTTCGGTAAAGTCACGTAGAATGAGAATAAAATAATAAATTGATAAAATAACACAATATTCTCACGACGTTTCGGCCACAACACAAGCGGCCTTCATCAGGTGAAGGGACGAGACTGTCTGTCCTGGTGTGGACCAATCCGTTTCAAAGGCAATGCCATATATTACGATGTTTTTTGTTTGAATTCTGACAAGTATTGTGGTTAATGCAGACATGACCCCTTGTAAAAGGTTTCAGTTTGGTGTTCTCATCTTAACAGTCCTTCAATAAAAAACGGTTTTATTAAGAACTTCGTTTAACTCACGATCGAGAAGTACGTCAATGATGCGGCGCCTGCTCCCACATCAACGCTTACTTGAATTAATTGATTACTTTATAACTGAATCTTCAATGTACAACTTTTGTTTGTGTGGAGTGAGGGTGCCTGTAACTCCTTGACACGAAGCAGGCGCCCTGAGAGACACACACACACGTGGCGCCCTGAGACACACAGCGCACACACACGTGGCGCCCTGACACACACACACACGTGGCGTCCTGACACACACACACGTGGCGTCCTGAGAGAGACACACACGTGGCTCCCTGAGAGACAGCACACACACACGTGGCGCCCTGACACACACGTGGCGTCCTGAGAGAGACACAGCACACACACACGTGGCGCCCTGAGACACACACACACGTGGGGCCCTGACACACACACACATGTGGCGCCTGCTTCTTGGGCGAGGCGATTCCAGAGTTTAGGGACCGCGGCGTTTTGTACATACACAAATATATAAATAATAAGGCGTCCATACAAAATGTAAATTGCTTTAAAGTAGCTCATTAATGTATTGACGCCGATTTTGATAGAGGCGTGCATTGTCACCGGATCTGAGTGCGTGTGCAAAATGTGGAATTGATTGGACAACAGGAAGTAGACTAAATTTTGATTACAAGATTTGACCACGACACAGGAATCAAGTTAAACCGTTGAAAAAAAGTGGAAAACATTCTCAAGAGCTTTATAGCTATATTCTTGGTTCTTTCGAAAGAATCAAGAATATGAATCCTTGCAGTCACGAAAGGTTTAAATCAAAAGCTTCATAGCTCTTCAGATTTCTACCACTTGATTCTGATTGGTGAATGGGAAGGAACGCGAGTGACGACATTGAGCGGTAGGCGCCTCCCCCCTTAGTAACATGGCCGCCGGGTGCGGTGCATGCGCGGTGATGACGTCACGCCGCCCACCGACCAATCACCACTTTATTGACACCGTCGCCGAGGTGTGCCGATTAATCGTTGTATCAATAAAGTTGATACCGGCGGGGCTGGATCCAGCGCGAGGGTGATTATTTATATTTATGCAAATTGACGAAGTCAATGTAGCCAACCGGGGCTTAGAGTAAACACACGTGGGCGTGCGTGGAGTCACGGCAGCCGCGTGGCATCATACAACGGAATACTCACGTACAACAGAGTACATACATTAGTATGCTGTACCTTAATCATGCTTAAAGTACACACACACATGACAAAAGTGTCCGTGATGTACACGAACTCTTCCTCTCTGTGCTGAAGCCCTCTCTGGTCGTGGCGAGCAGCAGCAGCAGCAACGTCGACATTGGCATGGAGCTATGAACCACAGCGCTGCTGCTGCTGCCTCCCGACGTGCACAAGACGAGAATTGTCGCGGGCTGTAAACTTTGAGAAGTGTCGCGATGGATCTCAATGTTCGAACTTTTGTGGCCGCAGCTGACACCAGTGGGGAGTGATGCCCTCAATTAGTCCCGCACATTACCCCCCCCCTAACCCTTCGTTAACCCGTGGTGACCAGCGCGGTGAAGTATGGTCAGAAGCACATGGCGTTGGGTGGCTTGGGTCCAGCAGTGGGTTGACCCGGGGCGGTACGGCTCTGTCAGTCGTGGCCAGGAGCGGTGGCTTTGTGGCTTGCGCGGTTTGCTATGAACCAATCCACCTGAGTTCGATCCCCGACCACGGCTAACGTCAGTGGCTAGTGATGACCCGACCCGGGCACTGTGGCGGTCTCTAATCTCCATATCTCCATGTAAAAGGCAAAGTTGTGATTATGTGTCTGTTCAAAATGTTTAGCGTACTTCCCGACATGCAACAAACTGGAAATTTGCCATGTGGGTATTTTGCAGACTGTACACCATGCAAACATTATACAAATAGACTATTGTTTTTTTTTTGGGGGGGAGCTCAATAATGCATTTATTTTTTGCACGGCAAGTGAGCTGTGACGTCAAATCTGTCACGTGACCCGCGCATGTGGAAGCGTAACGCATTGTAGTGTAGTGGTTAGCGCGCTGTGTGTGTGTGTAATCTGTGTGTGTGTGTAATCTGTGTGTGTGTAATCTGTGTGTGTGTGGAAGCGTAACGCATTGTAGTGTAGTGGTTAGCGCGCCGCGCTACGAACCCGGCGACCCGAGTTCGATTCCCGCTCACGGCCACCACCGGTGACGATTATTTCAACCGCTTCTGGGCCTCCCCTAGGTCGACTCAGCCTCAAACGAGTGACTGCTGTAGTGTGAACATTGCCACTGGGGAGACAAAGGTGGCCGGGCGTGCTGCTGTCACCCACCCCCTCGTGAGCAATAAAAACAAACTCCAGCCGTCAATCAGACTGCGGGGTGAAAGTCTGCGCTGATGATGCCGCACCTATAATGGAACATTATTCACCTGTACCTGGGCTCTCACCTGCCCTCGCTAGCCCCCCCCCATTCCCCGATCCCTCCTCCCGAACCCCCTCGAGGCCACGGGGCTGCTGGGCGGGGTGAGCGGGGAGACAGAAATAGCCGCGGATCAGGGGGTGTGCTGTCAAACTCCCACTCATCACCACCACCATCACCACCACCATCAAAAATCAGCGCAAGAATTAAACATCACCAGTCATTTCCATGATGATAAATCTTCATCATCATTCCGAATAACCATCATTGAAATCATCAATATCAAACTGTTCATAACTCAATTATCAATAAATAATCTTCGTCATCAGGTAGTCTTCATTTTGAACCACCCGATGCTGACTGACGTGGGGGCTCCATCCAGCAGTGGAGTGTCAAAGTGCTGTAATGTTGGTTCCTAATGAGCCCATCAAAATCTTGGATCTATGGTCTCTGTTCCGAGGGAGAGCTGGGTTCAAAATAAACACATCACCATCATCATCATTCACATCACGAGCATCAACACCATCATCTCAAGCAACATCATTATCAACAACATCAGCAACGCTATCAGCAACAGCATCATCATCACCATCATCACCATTAGCACAATCGTCATCACCATCACCACAATCATCGTCATCACCATCACCACAATCATCGTCATCACCATCACCACAATCATCGTCATCACCATCACCACAATCATCGTCATCACCATCACCACAATCATCGTCATCACCATCCGGACGAGCCACGTGTCCCACGGCGTGGGGGCGGAGCGGCGCCCAACCCCCCGAGGAACCTCCCCGCGGGAGCCGGCAGCGTCACCTGCACCAGCAGCCTCGCGCTGCGCGTCTCCCGTGGGAGACGCGGGGACATGCGGCCCGCTCGCTCAACCACCTGCTCCACCACCCGCGCCAGCTGTTCCAACTCCAGCTGTTCCAGCTCCAGCTGTTCCAACTCCAGCTGTTGCTGGTGGTCGCATCGTCAACTCCGCTCCAAAGTCGCCGTCGCAACCTCGCGTCCGCTACTGCTGCTGCTGACGATGCTGATGATGATGACGGTGGTGGGGGCACAACCTGTAGCAGAGGCAATGAGTCGCTGGACACTCGGCACCACCGTGGCTGCTGCAGCTGCTGCTGTTACAAGGGTCTCCCCGGGGTCCCCACAAGCGACCCCCCGGCCAAGAGGGGGCCCCGTGTCTCCGGGCAACGACCCCGAAGGTGCGAGCGCAGAGGAGGACACGAGCTCTGATTGTCCTCCTCTTGATGATGACGGGGGTGCAGATGATGAGGATGACGTTGTTAGAAATTATGTTGACGCTGCTGGACATTTTGTTGATGATATTGACGACGATGATAATGTTGGTGCTGGTGTTGATGATAACTGTGGAAATGACGATGTTCGAGCTGACGCTGATCGTGAGGACGACGATATTGAAGATGATGATGATGATGGAGATGATGGTGGTGGTGGTGGACCATGGTCTACAGCGGACGCTACGTGCAACATCTCGCTGACTCCGGGCACCACGGGGCTCCAGGCGCGGTGGAGCGGGACCGGCTCCCCACCGTGCGACCTCCACATCTTCTCCACCAACCCGGGCCGCGCCTCCTCCTTCTCCACATCCTTCACCCGCGTGCGCTCCCCTCTGCTCCTGGAGAGACGCCTGGGCGAGGACGATGGCCACGGCTACAGAGCTTGCGTCTCGTGCGCTCCGACGGCCTCACTTGGCCTTCGGGCTCGACCCTTCTGCTGCCGGGACATCAGCCGCGCTGAGGTGTACCTGTGCCCGGGCTGTGGTGGCGAGGGGGCAAGGGTCCGCGACGGCGGCAGGGGGCCGCTGGAGGCCGCTGTCGTTGCCTGCTTCATGACGGCGGTGCTGACCGTCTGGGTTGTGGCCGCCCTGGTGTGGCCGGTTCCCATCATCGCCGAGTTCCTGCCCAGCCTCCTCACGGAGCCCCGCGGGCGCCGCGTGACCACGCGCCGCTAACTCGGGCAGCGAGGGGCCGAGCCGAGCGTGGCCCCCCGTGCCCTCGTGTGGTGTGGCTCGAGCTTGGGGTAGGCTACAGACTTCACGCTCCGTGTGAGTACTGGTGGATTTGTTGAGTAACTGAACAGAGATGTAAGTGGCTTCACTGCCCACGCGTCGTTACAGAGACGTGTAGACCTGCGCGGAGACTCACATTGGTACAGAGATGACGAATCAGCGATGGGCTTGAAGCGGGGATCGAGAAAGAATGCGGGAGCAGAGAAGTGAAGGCGACTGATGACTGGTGGGGAGGAAGGAGATGTGGGATCTAGAAGCAGGGAGCTCATGGAGGGTAGAGGAGAGGTCTGCGGGGTGGTGGTGACGAGACGTGACAGGTGCCAGGTGGTGAGAGAGCGATGGGCGTGGGACTGAGTGGGGAGAAGATTTGGGAGTGGCCACCCAGGATTCCAACGGTGACGGCAGGGTGGAGGAGACGGAGTGAGCCGTGGCACCAACGTGGATGTTCACATCGTGAGAGGGGCCGCATCTTCCCGGTGCTGAGAATCGCGGCGAGCGATGCCACCGAATCGCGCCCACAGAGTCACGCGCGCGAACCGGGGACCCCACCGAGCTACGAAGCGGCCACGTGATGGCAGTACAGCAAGTAGCTGCAACTCGCCTGCCGTCTGGCCTGTATCGCGGACTCTCTGAGTGTTCACCTCGAGGACGCGTGAAGTGGTGTTCTCCGGCTTCTCCGGTTTCCCGTACAGTTAAAGGAGCAGCTCTGCAATTGCTCGCCATGCCACTTGCTGGCGGTAGTGGCCTCCACTTGGCGGAGCTCTCGAAAGCCCCTCCTAGAGTGGCATTGTGGCCTAACTCTTTCGGACTGACCAGCTGTCTTGGAAGAGCCGAGAGTACCCACCACACTTTACCCTACCACGTGAGAACTACCTATTCCACTGATGGCTGTGATAACATTTAGACTGCTGGATATGGGGGGGGGGGGTGTGAAATGTAATAAAATCGCTTCTTTGTTTCAACTGCCGCGCCGCGAGTTCGATCCGGGATTTGCAAATAAAGTGGGCTGACCATTGCACACCTGTGGCAGCATCTCATGTAAACACGACAAACCCCGCCTGCTTTATTTAAAACAAGAGGTGGACAAACATCCAATGGAGCAGGACCCCTCTAAAAAAGAGTTGAGATTCAGCGAGGCTCCACTCACGGAGTATCAAACCCCGTGACTTCACCGGGCCGCTCATGGAGACCGACTCATCCAGCTCTCTTCAGGGCTTCTCCTGGCGCTGCGGTGGCGATACATTAACTACCTCGCCTGGTGTACATGAGGTCGTGGGTTCGATCCTTACCCTGACGCCTGCTGTATCATTTGAGTTTGCGTGTCTCTCTCCCCGTGGTCGCGTGGATTTTTCTCCGGGTCCTGCGGTTTCTCCCTCCACATTTAGAATCAAAGTGCGTTGAGAGTATATGGCTGCTATAAATATTTCCACATGACAAGCCACTTTGTTGGCCAGGTTGCTTCTGATAAAGAGCTACACAGCTCAGTGGGCCTTGCCTAGTGAAATAAAAAAAGTTTAGATACTGAATCACCTGGAATCTGACCTCCGTGCAGTCTCAGATTTGTCCCACCGGGTGGCGATCACGCATCAGCCACGCTCCAAACACCGCCTTCACCAACCGGCACTGACCAGCTTGGTGAAGTATGGTCAAATACACCTCCACGATCCGCACGCTGTGCAGGGCTCGACAAGTATATTGGATGTCTGTGAAAAACAGCTTTATAGCTCATCGGATTCCTCCGGTATAAATCCATTTACTGGCTCTAAAATATTTAAAAAGAACCTGCCGTCTTCTCCGGATCATAAGATGCACTCCCCTCCGTATTTTCAAGAAAAAGTTGGGGTGTGCGTCTTATATTCCGGTAGTTGCGTGCGTATTTGCGCGAGTTTATTGACACCGGGCACACGTTTGGGGTGCGTCTTACTTTCCGGTTTGGCTTGTAACCCGCAGAATGCGGTCGCACAAACCGGTAAGAGTCGGGGGTGGTGGGAAAAGCCCGAATGGCACGCTCATGCAGCAGGGCTTCACGTCAGCCGGGTCAGCGACACGGAACATCATTCCGTACCCGGCACACCACATCCAGACTACCTCTCGCTACGGCTACTAGTAGTCACGTGCCCCCTACTCCAGTCTACCGGAGAGGTTGGTTCAATATCCATCGTGAACTTAATGAAATAAATTTACGCGACTTCGGAGAGAGCGACTCGAGGACACGGGGAGAGCCGCCTGCATGCGAATCGCTCCTCTACGTTACTGCACGGGACCGGAGGTCGCTTGAAGATGAGATCTCGGAGGTAGCTCTGTGACATCCGCTTCCGCGGGCCGTTGTCCAACGTGACGCCGATAGCCGCAAGAGCAGGGGATGGGTTGACTGTGACGTAATGGTGTGGCGCGCTTTGGCTCCGTGGCAACTATTCAGCTCCTCCTCCACAGATATCCCACGGTTCGGCGCGATTCGATTATCTGTACCGACTCGATTATCTGTACCGATTCGATTAAGAATAATTCTCAACTGCTCTTTCCGGCTCGTTTGTGTTGTTGATCCCCCTCCCTCCCACGTTTCCCTCCTACAGTGTTGAGCTCGCGCGTGATATTCGCATCGCTCCGACACACGTTGTGCATGCGGAGCGAGTACATCACTACTACTATTATTATTACTTCATGGGACCTCCTTTGCCAGCGCCAAAATATGAGAATGGGGTTTTTCCCAGTTTTTCTGTCAACAAAAAAAACATTTGACAAGGAATCATGTCTGCATTAACCACAATACTTGTGGTCAGAATGCAAACAGAAAACATACTCTGATCATATATGATGCATTGTCCTTGAAACTGATTGGTCCACACCAGAGACAGCTGTCTCTTGCTCGTGTCGAACGGTGTTAGACCAGAGGACGCCCAAAGGCGAACACAACTCAAAGACAACGCACTGAGTAATGAGAGCTCCGGGTGAGCATCTACATCATGGGACCTTTTATTATTCTTATACATTATCATTATTATCACCTGATGACGATTGCTTGTGTTGCGATCGAAACGTCATGATATTGTCATTATTATTTTTATTATTATTTGTTCTATCTCCGTGGCTTTACCGAAAGACCCAAAGAATATTATTATTATCTGGGATGCTGCAGCTGCTGCGTTGGCAGTGGTGCACGAACACAGCCAACAACAACAACAAGTCGACGCGTTCGTCAATAACAGCAAGTCGACGCGTTCGTCAACAACAACACCGTGTGTTGTGTGTGTGGTTTTAGACATTTAACAGGCGACATTTCAGGCAATGGCCCTTCTGCACAGTACATAGAAAGGCCAGAGAGGTGGAGTCAGTCCCTACTGCCGCCCTCTGTGTGTCGTGAAGAAGGCCCATTGCTCGAAATGTCGCCTATGATATCGATTTTATTTTAAGACCACAGTGTTATTGATACATGGTATATCATTAATTCTACCGCGCACGTTTCGATTAATTTATCGTGAGAACAATAATCAAAACTAATCGATGAACCGGTGCATGTTCACCTGTGCCCACTTGCAGCAGCACTCCTGGGTCACAGATGGCATGCACCACCGTGGCGAGATTTTAACTACTTCGCCTGGTACACAGGAGGTCGTCGGTTTTAGAATTTGCAGTTCTCCCTCCCCGTGGGCGCGTGGATTTGTATCGGGGTTCTCCCGTTTTTCCCTCAACGTTTAGAATCGACATCACACGTTCAGAGTATTTGCCTGCAATACATTTCCACACGACGATAGGCCACTTCGTTGAGCTATCATTTGTGGCCAGGTCACTTCTGAAAAAGAGCTACATAGCTCAGTGGGCTTTACCTGGCTAAATAAAAATAGTTCATAGTTTTAATTTAATCAATTACAAAAAGAGTATAGTTTTATCGTCTGGGACGGCCATCACATTGCTGAGTGGGTTCATTTGCCAGCAGAGGGCAGTGCTGCTCCACGCCTTCGTTCACGTCGCAGTGACCAGCGTGGTGTAGCGTGGACACACCAAGTGGTGATAATACAAATGCTGTACAGATGGTTACTGCTGCGAGTCAACAGTTGATAAGCGCGTCAAGCTAACACAGTGATCGGGCCGTGGCCAGAGTGTACGTGGTCAAGAGTAATAGCGGAGCGGCAGCCAGGGAACGGGAATCGTTCGAGACGACCGCCCACCGAGGAGATGGAGTTGTAATTATGGGGCAGGCGCCGGGTGGAGTTTTGCATCGCAAGATCGTGAGATGTGGCGCCGTCTTCGGGGAGGGCCTCGTCCAGCAGTGGATTGACCATGGCTGATGATGATCATGCAATATGTTCGCACATAGGCCAAGCAATTCACACAGATCTCCCGTGTAGCTCACACAAGCTGTTGGGGCAAGTGTTGTTAGCGAGTACCTAACAAGGCCGACACGGCGCACCAAGGGGTGGGTAGCCGACACCACGCCCGGTCGCCTTTGTATCCCCAGGAGCAACGTTTACACAGCGCACCAGGTACTTATTTGAGGCTGAGTCGACCTAGAGGGGCCCCAGGGTTAAGACGATGAGAACAGAGAAGCACGGCACAACGACGTTTTTCAAATTTGCGGCACTGCCCAGCGCGTGGCCCCGCAGCAGCCTGCAGCACCTGGCACGCACGGCGTCCGCCCATGCGTCCAAGCGCTCTCCAGGCTCAGCGCCGCTTAGATTCCGGCAACTGACGGCACCGAGCGCAGTGATTACGGCGTTCGGCCTCGAGCGGCATAAATCATTCATGCTCGCGCCTCTGATGCCCGCGGAGCTCAAGCCTTTGAAATCCGCCGTCGCTCCTCTCCCCCTCTCTCTGTGGCCACGGGAGGTGCGAGGGAGGCTTGGGGTAGCGCTCACCTGGAGAGCGTGCGGTGGCATCCCATCTCTTGACCGGAATCCAGACCCCGGGTCGCGACGTCTCACCGCGTGGCGATGTGCCCCGGTGTCCGGGTGCGCGCTGTGAATTCCTGCGAGTCCTCTCCAGCTCCCCAGTGTCCCTCACTCGGCTTGGAGCACCACCGTGTGCCGATCGGCACGATGTTCGACGTTTTGCTCACGTGTTGAAACTGTTTTTTCATGGACAGATGCGAAACGTCGGACATCAGTATGTTGTACAACCCTGACTATGATTACCGGACGGAGAGTTCAGGCCGCGTCATCGCGACCCACGTGCGCCGTGGTCATTCTCGACCCGCATCGGTGCCCCTGACGAACTTCTGTCCGGGGTGCCCCTGGCAGCCGCGAGAGGGGCTCCATCAACCACAGCGTAAAACACGAACCGTGATGGACGTGTTCACCCACAGGGGTCGGAAACCAAAATAACAAGAAGTGACACGTTTTTTTGATATCTGGTAATACCTCCCCCCCCCGTCAATATTTAAAGAGCCGCAATGCATGTGAACACGAGACGGTGGTCCTTAATAAGTAACGTCACGAAGCAGTCCTTCAAGAGCCGCATGCGTCTCCGGAGCCGAAGGTTGCCGACCCCTGAACATCACCAAACCGTGACCCCGAGTCGTGGCAACTCATCGCGTCGCCAGTGAAATCTGTGGATCGTGAAGGTGCCTGAGACTCTCCCACGTGCGCTCGGGTCGTACCGCGTGCCGCTCAGATTCGCGACGATGATTTACTCCGCTCGATTTATCCAGGAAAGCCTCACCGAGTATCATGAATATATTTTTTTTATCAGGAGGGTCCTGCTGCCAAGTTTTTTTGCAGCGGTGGTGCTGGGAACTTCTTCAGGAGCTGAACTGAATCCTTGAAGAATCTTCCAGCGCGTGCAGCAATCTCTCTCCGTCTCTCACCGATTGTTTGTTCATGCAGTAGAGTACTTGGTCGGCGCGAATCGGTGGCGAGGCAGAGACGGGAAAAGAGAGAGGGGGGTGGGCAGTGAGAGAGCGATGCGCGATCTGACCGCGGAGTCCCGCGCGGACCGTCCGCCGCCTATCCCGGCACTGCGTATCGAGTAGAGCACAATGCATCACGTGTCGAGCAGAGCATAATTCACCACGTGTCGAGCAGAGCACAATGCATCACGTGTCGAGTAGAGCACAATGCACCACGTGTCGAGTAGAGCACAATGCATCACGTGTCGAGCAGAGCACAATGCACCACGTGTCGAGCAGAGCACAATGCATCACGTGTCGAGTAGAGCACAATGCACCACGTGTCGAGTAGAGCACAATGCATCACGTGTCGAGTAGAGCACAATGCATCACGTGTCGAGCAGAGCACAATGCATCACGTGTCGAGTAGAGCACAATGCACCACGTGTCGAGTAGAGCACAATGCATCACGTGTCGAGTAGAGCACAATGCA